AAAAAAGTAGCAGCTGCGCATAACGGTAGACAATCGAAGCTGCAATAAACATATCCGACAAAAGGTCGCGCGCAAAGTAGGTAGGTGGTGGGGGAAGAGTAGCTCCTAGGCAGGATGGGTAGGATGTGCTTGTAGCGTTCGGCATTGTCGTGCGGCTGTGCACGTTGTTAATGAAATCAAAGGCTCCCATTCATGATTCCTTGCCGCATATCCTGGCCCCCGCTGCGAAAGCCGTTGATCTCGCGGTCGCGGTGCACGTACGTATGCACTGCTTCCTGGACGCTTGCGTACGAATGTGTGTGTGTGTGTGTGTGTGCGCGCGCGATGCATAGCGGGGCGCTTCTCTCTCTTCCTCTCTCTTCTGGGAACAACTCGCGATATCTGCCGAGTGGAGCACGATTGTTTCGTAATGACTGCCGCGCGCGACTTGTTTATTCGATTCGCAAAATTCGTACACGTGCAGCGACTTCTCTTGCCTTTCACTCGCTGACGCGCCGCCGCCACCGCCGCGCCGGAAGAGCAGCCGCGGTCGAGCGAGTAGTTGCGCCCCCCCCCCCCTTCCGCGAGAGATTCGACGGTTCGATGAATTGCCGCCGAACTCTCGTAAACAAGGTAACGCGAGCTCGCGCGATTGCCGGTCTTTCGCGCGCGCGTTATGCCCCAGTGATTTATATTCAATTTTGTGGTTTTACTGCGCATATCCGAACGACGCATTATGCACCGGCGGAACGGCCTATTTTATTATAAATGCCTTTTGTGCAGCTCGCTGATACATAGATAATGACCCCGTCATTTTAACTGGAAATTACATAAATTTAAAATGACCGCGGCCGACTTTGCTCGCGGCGGTGATGCGACGAAGTTTTGCCTTGACGGAATCTCGCCCTTCCTCGTTCTTTCATCGTTCCACGTTAGTCGACGCGTTTACATGCAGCCCACCGCGGCCGCTCGATTGCAACTTACGATAGACGCGTTCGTTTGGCGATCGCGCGAACTCGCCGCGACCGAGGAACAAGGCCCGGGCAAACGATCGGCCTCTTGTTGGAGCATTGCCGCGCGACAACGGTCCCGAGGAAGACGCCAGTCTCGCGCGCGAGCATAGCCCACGCGACGAAAGGCCTGATGAGCCGCTGTTGTGTCGCGATCATTCTATAATAACCGTCGTATCGAGGGAAAGCCGCCGATGTGCAATTAGTCAGTGAGCCAAGTGAGGCCAGTGAGGAGACGATCGCGCGACACGTTCAGAGTCATATCGATGTTACCTTTACCCCCGTCCACCTTCGTGGACCATCTCTTCCATTCCATCTCCAACGAAATCGCGATTCTTACCAATTTCAATCTGCCAAAAGAATATTTTCGTTCGGGCGATTGTCGGGTGGTGATCATCGGTTCGCTTCGCTCGAGATCAGGTTCGACTAGAGCAGTCTGGACGTTAACCTTGACGCGAGACAGAAAGAGAGAGAGAAAAAGCACTCCGAGAAATAAGGAATCCGTGGCAGCGGGCGACTGTCGTGGCCGTCGCGCCGAGTGCGCCCTCGATCCATGGGAGCATCCATGCTGCTCTCGTGTTTTTTTTTTTTTTTTTCGCGTCTCCTCGCAGAAAAACGAGACCACCTTGCGCCGCCGCCGCCGAGCATCCGGCGATTTCCCGCGCGTAGCTAGACGGAGAACCGCGCGGGAGGCGACAGAGCAGCGGACGCCAGGCGGTGCTCCGAATAACGAGAAAAGTTGATTTTACGATTACGCGGAAGGAAACGCCCCTCTCGGCTCGTCGTTCCCACGTTTCCGCTTGTGAATTCGCGCGAGAGCGCGCCGCCACTAAACGGGGGCGTGAATTTCCGACGCCGCGAGTCCCATTGTCTTCCTCGCTCGACGTACGTCGCCTCCGACCGCGAGCGACGTGTCGCCCGTCGATTTCCTCGCGAGTACCGAAAGCCGCGCAACGGCCCGTGGCAGTGCGCGTTTCTCTGTAGCGCGAATATGCGCGGACTTCAATTGTAGTAACGAGAGAGCGAGGGAAAGAGAGAGAGAGGGAGAGAGAGAGAGAGAGAGGAGTCGGCGATGATTAACGAGCCTCGGCGTAGCGCGTGCGAATCAAGGTTGCACTCGAAGCACAGTCGCGCTCGGGCGTCGGCGTCGGGGTCTCGATCGAGAGAGATCGTCGGGCGTATAATGGCCGTTGTGCATTACGAGAGAATGCGCATTATACGCGGCGGGGATGCTGCGCCGCGTCCGCACCGCTATTTTTAGCCGCTTCGCCGGCTATTTTTAACGACGGCCCGCGACAGGTTTAACCCTGACTCTGAGACTTCTCTCGCTCTCTCTCGTCTTCCTGTCACGCGGATGTGTCGCACGTCGATGCGCGCGTTATATTGTCCTGACTTGGGCAATTCACACGCGCCACATCGCGGCCGTAGTCGCAGGAGCTTTCGAGAACCGTGGCGAGCGCCGAAGCTCTATCGCGCACGAGGGAACGAAGGGATGCGCAGGTGCTCGTTAAAGATAGTATTCAGGCGCGCCAGTCTTTCGCCCGGTGGAGCGCTTGAGCAGTCATTGAACCTTCGTGCGGTGCGTTCGGCGGCGCCGTCAGGTCCGAAAAATTTATTTTCGTGGTCGCCGGTCCAGCTGTGGCTCCATGTTATGCGCCGCCGCTCGCTGCGCGTCGAAGACGTACGCGCACGCATCGGCGACGTTTATTGCCTGTAACGGTTTCCGCTCTACCTGCCCGCAACGATATTCGTCGCGAGAAAGATGCGCGCCGCGCTCGCGAAAAATTTGCCGAACGCGGCATACGGTTACTTTATGCATTGAGATGAGCGAGCGAAAATATATCTTGTAAATAACCGAATTTTGAGGCGGATGCCGAGTAATTTCGGAATCGGAGAGCGCGGCGATAAATAAAGAAATGCCGCGAAAAGAAGCGAATGGTCGTTATCCGAAACGATCTCGTGAAAAATGACGATGCCAGTGAAGAACATATAAAGAGCGCATTATCCGACACGTAACGTCGCGTTTCCGAGCCCATAATTTGCTTACTCTATGGCCACCTCCATTAGCGACTCCATCAAGACGATAAAGTCAGCAACAATGTGCGTATCCGCAAGCTCTCTCTCTCTCTCTCTCTCTCTCTTTCTCGCTTAGCTGTTTCAAGCTATACACTCCCGGCTGTTGCGAACAGAAATAAAGCAAACATTTGGCACGGCGTGGAGTTGCCGACATCGCTCGGTGGTTCGCGCGAGAGCTAAGAGAGAAAGAGAGGCCACACGCGTAAAAATCACACTGACTTGGTAAAGCGGTGACGCCGAGCGACCGATGCAAACCAACGACGCCAGCGAGAGAACGACGGATTGTTCAATTTTAGCGTGACGACTGACGAAGGAGATCTCACGGCTGCGATCGCGTCTCTCGCGCGGATTTACGACGACGTCGCGTCCAGGTAAAGTTGAGCTATCTCGTTGGAATGGGACCCGCGGACGCGCGAGGGCGGCCAGTAAGAGACGTGGTGGTGGTTGTCCGTTACGTCACGCCGAGCTCGACGTCGCCCAATCGTACACACTCACTGCGAACGTAAGCTGCCACGCGAATGCGCGCGCGACGTTACATAAACTACAGCTGTACCCTCGCCGATTTATTTTGCGTTTCGAGCCACTCTCGAATTCCACGCGTCGTTTGTCGCTCGCCCGAGCATTGTGCGCGTTGTTTTTCTCTTGCAGGAAGGGAGAGAGAGAGAGAGAGAGAGAGAACTTCCTCGTTCGCTCTGTTCTCTCCACTCTCTCGAATTGAATATCGCCGCCGAATGAATTTGCAGAAAACGTCGATCGACGATTATCCGCAGGGGGTCCGCGTCGATGACTCGCGCGCGCGCGCGCATATTTTATTTATAGAGCCTCGGGTCGCGCGAGACAGGCCCCACCCCCCGTGTCGGCGCGATTGGCTGGTCGTCCATTAATTATTCCCGCGATGCTAGGACGAGAGAAACTGAAAATCGGACACGATGCAATTGTCTCGGGGCCGGCAGTGTTTTCATTGCTCGCGAGAGGGAGACGAGGCCTCGGTAATCCGATGCAGCTGTTCGCTTTCGGGCGTTACTTTTCGAAGCGCCAGCTCTCCGCGGCGCCCGAGTCTTAGAATAACAAACCGATGCGGCGGCGCTTCGGATAGACAAATCAGCGTAGGCGCCGCGGACAGTGACGGCGGACAGCGCTATAGAAATTGTCGAAGTCGCTGCTTCCAAGTAGATCGATGATTTCCATCGATTCGGAGTTTCGGAGAAAGACGCAGCGGCCGAACGAACGAGGCGAGAAGGAAAAGTGGTCCGCAGTACGGTCCACGCGAGGCATACAGGTTTCCATCTGAATTCTCTCGCTGTCTCGCATCCGGCGACCGTAAAAATAGATCGAACGCGCGCGCTCGCACGCTGCGCGAAGACACCGAACTCTCATTAGCCGCTAGGCCGCACGGCGGCCGATCGAATCGTCCCGAAAATACATCCGTCGGCCTCTTTGTAAACACGCCCCTATAAATTGAAGCCGCTCGCTTCGCGGGCCGTGCGCGTTCCCGAGATGTGGCGCGCGCAAGCCGCTGCGAACACATCCAAAGTCGATGAGTTTGCTGGGTCGCCGTGATCGGAACGAGGCCACTATCAACGCCGACCAGCACTCGCAGTATAATATTTTCCGTATGCGCAGCACGCGCGACCGCGAAGCGCCTATCGTTAAAATACAACTTTGCAAACGACGTGGGCAAGCGTGCACTCTGCTCGTCCTTGTTATTGTTCTCGCGCGATAACTCACAAGCGATCGATGCTCGCGCGCTATCGGTGACTCATGGGACAATTATTCGAGAGAGAAAATAAAAAACGAAGCGAGCGAGCCGAAGATCGCATCACGAGCCGACGTAGCCGCGACGAATGGCAAAATAAGGACGAGGATGAGATGGTGGCGAGCGCCGTTGTACACCGAGTAGAGACTGAGGCTTGTCGCGCGTTTGGTTGTGCGCAGGTGAATAACGGCTCGCCAGCCGAGGCGGCTGGTCTGCGCGCGGGCGACGCGGTCATCCGAGTCAACAGCACGGACATGTTCAGCCTGAGGCACAAAGACGCTCAGGACGTGATCGTCAGGGCCGGCAACAACTTCGAGATGACCGTACAGAGGTAATATACAGCGCGGGCAGCGCGCTCGACTTTTGGCGACGGGCTTACGTGAGAGAGAGGGACGATTTGAATGTATCAGGGGGAGCAGCACGTGGAGGCCGAGCGTGTCTCCGGTGACGGCCAGCATTCCATCGCCTCAGCCGACGAGGCCGGTAAGCAGCATTTCCCCCGTCACGAAGACCTCCCTTGCTGCCAAAAAACAGGACGTTCGCCACATTGGCAGCGGGCACAACTTCAGTCCCAAACCCTTCGTAACTGTCGCCTCTTATTACACGATCTACCGTTGCTCCGATCGCCAATTCGCGCCACTCACGTGCCACTGTTTGCCCTTCTTTTCTCTCTGCTGGCTGACTCTAGCTCAACGGCATGTCCAATGGCACCGTCAAGTCCATCGTCAACAAGCAGTACAACAGTCCCGTCGGTATGTACAGCGAGGAGACCATCGCCGAAACCCTGTCGGCTCAGGCTGAAGTTCTGGCCGGTGGCGTCTTGGGGTAAGACACGCCACTCGTCGCATCTCTCTTTTGCATTTCTCTCGACTCATTGCCCGATCTTTGTCCGACCTGCAGCGTGAACTTCAAGAAAAACGAAAAGAACTACGACGCCCAGAACAGCGAGGTGTTCAAGATGGTCCAGGAGGCCGACAAAGAGCCAAGAACACCGGAACCAGGTTGGTTACGGCTCATCCGCCGTGCATTTTTTCCCTGGCTTTTTCCAACCTATTTCCTTTCGTAACGCGGTCGAAGCACTCGACGCTCGACACATTGCTTTGTAACGACGATTCGGTCGCTCGTCAAAGAACGAGAGCAATGCGTCCAGCAACCGTGCTCGAGCTGGCCCGCTCTATTTCTAACGAGCAGCCAGCTTGCGCCAACGGTCGGACAAGCTACGAGCGCGAATTTCACTAGAAAACCATTGCACGCATTACCATCAGCAGCAGCAGCAGCAGCAGCAGCAGAGCCGTCGCAGCACAGTGGAGTGGCGACGCCAACGTCGCCGGCATTGACGGGTCTGCGCCACGTGCAGGCGCCCGAGTCGAGACCGCCCTCGAGCCAGCCGTCACCCGGTCTCACTCCCGGACAGAACATCTGTGCCGAGTGCGAGAGGCTCATCGTGTAAGTTTGACTTTTGCAGGCGAGCGCCCGGCAGAGCAGCAGTCACGGCAGCGAACAACGTCCAGTCGTCGGCGCTCGATCGTTCGGTGGCGCGTGCATAGTCCTAGTTGCCTGCATTGTCCTTGCCGACGTACGTCGCTATTCACAGCAGACCTAATAACGAGTCGAATAATCCCTGATGCACACAGTTCCGGCGCGGACGGACAACTTTCTGGGCGCGAGATCGCCGACGGCCCTCGCAGCCAGCGACAGTCGGCCGAGCTTCCCCGGCGAGTCGGGCCAACAGCAGCCCAAGCCTGTCGACCCCCGAGATGGCCAAATTGTGTGCAGCAGCTGCGACTGCGTTATCTAGTAAACATAGTTCATTAGCCTGCGAGCTGTTAGAGCTTTCGTGCCCCGAACTGTCCCTCGCGCATTGTTGTCGCTGTCGCTGTTGTCAGTGCATCGCTGTCTCTATCTAATCCTCCCTCTCTCCCCCGCTCTCTGTAGACGAGCTTCGCAATTCCATTCTCAACGACGAACGTTCGCCAACCGGCCAGGCTCTACTTTGCTTGCGTACGACCGACCAACGAACAGTCGATCCACACGATAAGTTGTCGGTGATGCGCTCGCAGCCAGACGGAGCTAAGCGGCAACTGCTTCGCTTTCCCTATTGATCTCGAGGGGCCAAAAGTTCTTGGGCTTCGCTAACCAATCGGAATTCGCTTCCTCGGCGTTGCATCAATCGTCGAGCTCTATTACAAGGTCGCTCAACCGCTACCCTACCCGCGCAGCGCCGACGATAACTTTAATTTAACCCTGCGGCTAATTCAAGCTCCCGCGCGCAGCACTCTACGCCACGCGTGTATTGCGCCTAGTATATATCGAGATCAATTAGACGTACAGTGTGCGCTCGAGTGTTTTCCCGTATTAGTCATCGACCGCTGACTTTTTTATAACTATTTTTTTTATCGCTGCTTCGTCTTCTTCTTCTTCTTCTTGACTCATCGGCGTCACGAGAGACACGCCGATTATCCATATCGCGTTTTAGAATACGAGGCTGCACCACGTCCGACCTGATTGCTTGGCCCCTTGCGATTCCTCGAGGCTTTCAGCGGATATGAAACGCAAAAGAAACCTTTGCTTTTCCCACACACGCCTGGTTATAGATAGTTTGTTTATTTAGTTTGACTGGCACGCATCGTCAATGTCGTTTGACGATTTAGATGATCTAGACGTTGTTCGTTGCTGCTTGATACTTAGTCGATATCCGAAAGTGTTTGAGATAAGAAAGATGAAGTAAACGAGCGATTTATCGAGCTCCGAGCGCAAGCGAAAGTTCAATGGCACGAATCGATAGGAGCTTTCCTTGCGCTGGCTTTCGCTTGATACGACTCTCGAGACGGCTGGAGTCTCGGCCGTGAGTCGACCCAGCCGGGAATAAAGCGAACCACGCGCTGATTACTTTCATCCGCTAGATGAAAGCACGCGCTCGCGTTATAGGCGCGAAGCCACGGCGTAGACGTAATCGTTCGCCTGCATGTTTGCCCGTGCTTTCTTTTTTCCGGGGATCGCGCGTGCAGCGGAGTCTTCGTCAGAATAAAGGAGAAGAATCTTCACGTGGAGTGCTTCAAGTGCGCGACCTGCGGCACCTCGCTCAAGAACGTCGGCTACTACAACATCAACAACAAGCTCTACTGCGACATCCACGCCAAACTCGTCGCCAGGCAGAACGCACCTCCCAACGTCGTACCCGTCACCGTGGCGCCGTGCGTATCGACACCCTCGATCGCTTGATTCATCGGGCACCGAGCGGGCGAGTCACTGATTCTTTCTCTCTTTCTTGCAGAGGTCAGAGAGCTCCGGCAAACACCATTTCTGCAGCCTTATCGAGTCACGGAAGTTCGTCACCTCAGCCGTTCTCGGTAAGCAACTCACCCGTTTCCGCTCTGCTGTCGCGTCGTTGCACATTCCTCCAAATCATTTGCTTGAGGATCAGTTGGCAGGGAATGACGACGAGGCTTTCAAGCATGATGCCGACACTTTTATCATGATTACTTTTTGCATTTTCACGCTCACGCTTGCCTGTTGATCGCGCTTCGGTATTCTAATACGGTTCTTAGTGATTTTCATAATTCATTGACAAAATAATGATATCTAGCAGCTATAAGTAGAGTGCAAGAACTCACAAGACGCGCCCACAGCCAGGTAGCCTCGACTACCTGTTTGTAGGCCCGAAGTAATATTCAATGAATAACTAATAACTCTGATTTGTAATCGATCGATCATTCAACACGACAATTAACGAATCGTTTCTACCTGAACTGCGATTGACTGATTTTCTAGATATTCTGGAAAAAACAAGGAATTCGCGTTATTCGGTTGTTTCATTTTGAAATTTGTCTTTGATTTCAGTTAAAAGGACAGTAAAAGAGCAACTAATTGTACTTACTAGTCTGAAGTGTAAATTTCCAGTGAATAATTTTCATTATTTCATCATGACACATGTTAATAAAACATAACAGAAATATTAGTGAATTGATGAAAGAAATTAATAAGATAATAACGTATCCGAAGCATATGTACATAAAATAACGAATGGTTAACGCCAAATAAATTGAGTGTGTTGTGTGTGTGTTCCCTGTGCCCACTAATCGCTTTTGCAGAACAACCAGCAGCAATGCCAGTATCAGCACAGAAACGGCTACAACAGTCGCATCTCCGGCATACAAGACGAGTACGAGAGACCGGACTCGGTGAGCACTTGCGAGACGTACGAGTCGAAAACTTACACGAGTACGATAACCATCCAGACGACTGGCACTCAAGCCGACAATGAAAGCTTCGATTATAACCGCAATTTCACTAACGATCAGTTTAACAATATGGACAACAAGCTGCACAAATTAACCGAACAGCTGGACGATTTCTCGTTTGACTCCGCCAAGCACAAGGATCAGTTTGACTACTGCCCTAACAAAGAGAACAATACGCCAGCTTACGTGCGAGCACTCAAGGTGATTACTACTTGTAATGGACATCGTTCTTGCTGTTACTTCCCTGCATACCTTCTATGATTTCCTTATTTTCACCGAGCGTACTTGGCTTTGGCGGTACTGTCTTTCGATACTTTTGGTTGAGTCCGCTTGTCTGGCCTCGCTCTCATCGGACCGCACAGGATGACCATACGTGACCTTTTAGCCTTCCATCAGCCTGTTACCTCGAGGCAAATCCAAGTCTCGCGCTTGCACTTCCTACTTCCTACATTGTCGGCAACGTGTTGGCATTTTCGAATTATTTTCGCGCTCGTGACTAATTGAACGCCGACACTCGAGTCGATATAAAGCCAGAGGATTATGAAAGCCGCAGCTCACTTCATATATGCGCTTCGCCTATGAGGCTGCAGCAGCGCGCCCACGTGACCAGTCATCATCGATCCCCTACTTCTTTTCTCTCTTCTCCGAGTAACTTGTCTCGTTGTTGCAGCCCATTCGCCTTGGCAGCTCGCCCTTCGATCAGCCCACTTTTCGGCCAGTTCAGGTAACGACGCTCTTGCCGATCGCTCCGCTTGCGCTCGCGCTCCCCCGAAGTCGCCAACCGACCGCTCATCGCTTTCCAGTAAACTCTGCAGTATTCGTCTTTTGCTTTTCCTCTTTTCATTCATTCACTCTCATGATTGATTCAGCGACCATTTTTCATTCGGTATCTCTCGCCCGGAAGCCGGAATTATTCCATTCATTTTCACATTCGCTCGACATTTATTAATCGGAATTACTAATGATTTTGCGATTTGACGTGTGCTTACTAACCATCCGACATTAAAGCTCTCACTCGCAAATGTTCTTCTTCCTCCTGCATCGACGTGCCAATCAGGAGCATAATGCACTTCTGAATTCGGTCAGTCGAACAGATCTTGCAAGCTCAAGTTTGCTCGTTCCATATTCGCGTACTTTCACGGTAGGACCTTACTTTGTCGAGTTTGAAAGTAAAAGAGCGTGGACACTCTTGCAAGTGAAGGTTTTCAACGAAATCAACGCAAGTCAATTAAAAATGACCAATGCATTTTAGGCACCATCGACGCACAGCTTCTGCGGCCCGAAGCCCTTCATCGGCTCCAGTGTCACGAACCAGAACTACTCATCGCCGCCTATTATTAATACCGGAAGCAGCAGCACTCTGCCTCGCCCTCAGAATCTATCTGTAACTGGTGAGTTTTTCCCCCGCCTTTTATTCTCGCGCGCTCTTGGTGAACGAATATTTTCGAACTCTTTTTATGCACACATAATAGATTATGTATATATAGACCGCCTCTCGCTAGGTATATTTCACGTGTCGACGCGACCTTAATTTTTCGTCGGACTATTCTTTTATTTTAAGTTTCATTTATTTATTGGCTCTTTTTTTAACGTTTCGAAGATGAGAAAACAGAAGGAGCCGGGAAAGTTATTGTTAGGCTGCCTTAACGTATAACTGATTCGCAATGATGGATTACGTAACATAAATTAAAGCGCTAGCGATAACTTTCTCGAGCCCAATTAATCGGCATTTGATTTATACGAGTGAAAGATAGCAAGAGCAAAAACCACAGCTCGCAAATGAAAACTTTGCGAATGAATAATTAGCACACGAGGAGCAATGCATATACGCATCGCGTCTATTTCGAAGTCGGTCGAGGTCGACAAACCCCCCCGAGTGACTGTTTATCACCTAACCTTCAATTGGATTCTTGCAAATATAGGTCGTTTCTCGACTCTGCCAAAGCCGAAGAGCTCTCCCTTCAACAGAGGTACGATAGCCACCGACAGCATAGCGCTTTGATACTTCTCCCCCCCCCCCCATATTCTTTCTCTGCAGCGCATCTCTCAAGTTTCTGCTCTCTCATCCTGTCGTTATCTCGCGCAGCTTTCTTTCGAAGCCTCACTTACCAGCTTTTCCACGATGCACGCAGTCCAGAATACTCGACAATTGCCACGTTCGATACGCTTTAAACTTGGCTAGACGTTTCGACTTTTTTTATCGGGCACTGACTCGGTCGCTGCGTTATATTTGGGGGAAAAGGGGCAAATTAATCACTACTGCCATTATCTCCGATTGCTTTTGTATTTCAAATGAACGTGATTTACAAGTGTCAATAAGATCTTGCGTAGCCTCATATATATCTGACGCGCATATACAGTCTCGGGTTCGTGAACCGTTATCAACAGTCCAATTGGAATTCAAGCTACCGGAAACATTCCGGAAAATCATTCCACGTTCCTTTTCCCGGCATACTACGCGATGAAAAGTGCTACGAAGCGCATAGGGAGCAAGAACGGGAGAAGAGGTCAGTGACGTGCCGCGATTGGTACATTTTGAGAGCTGCCAGCAGCCGCGACTCGTTTGACAGGCACCACAACACCCTTTTTCATGCTACTATAGAACCGATGACGTCGGGGAGAGCCTCATTCCACTATTCTTTTCCTCCTCTCTCGATCTGCACGCAACTATATGTTTATGCCCGACTTGCATCGCCTTATATCATTCTAATGCTTCTCTTTTTCGCAAGCGCCGGCTGACATCGTCCTTCTATTTACTTACTGGAAACTTCTGCTGGCGATGTTCGTAACGCATTTTTTCACGATTCATTTTACATTTTTAAGTAGGGACTTTATTTATGCCTTTGAGGACTGTAAGTCGTACATACCGCGTTCAAATTTCTGTTGATAATACTTACTAATATGAGACCAATTTTTAGGAAAGTTCCAAATTCTAAAAATGAGCCGAACACATTTACATATATTTAATAGTCATAAAAGTTCATCTGTCATTTAACAGTGTAATTAAAATACCAGCGTCTCTAACTTGAACAAATACTTATAATCCTCAAAGTATAAAAGTCGAAAATTTTTCAAAAAATTTTATACTTTGAATGTAGCGTTGACTGTGTTGTTTTGTATTTTTCTCTTTTCAGCAGCCACGTCGTTCAACTCAAAGCCCCGACCCTTTTCCCTCATCGCGTGAACGTGGCAGCTCTCAACTGCACCGAGCGCGCTATTATCAATTACTGTTAATTTAAAGACGCTACAATTGTTACATATTTTGTTGCTGTTCTCATTCTGGACTCTGTTATCGGACGGTTTGAATAGGCTGCGTCCATATTAAATGATTTATTTCATCATTGTTTCATTGTTGATTCTGGGCATTTGCCATGTGATCCCTACGAATATTGATCAACATTCGTGCACGCGAATACAAGAAAAAATAGTAATAAATAAAGAAAAGCTAATAAACATCATTTGCTCGACTAGTTTCTTCTCATTTGGCAATCACGCTTCGTTGCTTCCTTTTGTTCAAGAATTATTCAACTATTTTTTTTAAGCTTCTTCCCTCCCAACTGGACTTGATACTCGATTATTTCGCTGAGTGGTTTTATTCTAATAGTGCAAAAGTTTTTAGTGAGTTTTGAGCTGTTGGTTTACAAAAACAAAAAAGAAAACATTTAAAGAATGCTGACGATTGATTTTATAATTTCTACACGTATTACTTAAGTTCAAAATCAGTTACTTCAATCAACCGAACTAACTTGTTTTGTAAAAAGTTTCATTATTATTATTATTTTAATTTAGGATATTTGCCTAGCATTGAGTTGATTGAAGTATCCAATTAATTATTATGATATTATTAATTCAAATAATAGTTCAATTATTAACGATAGCGCCATTAAACCTGTCAATTAAAATGTCTTAATGCGTTATCTTAAGTTATATAACATGCTTTAAACCTTGCTTACAGTCGCTCTGAATAATAATAAGTAGTGCAGCCAAAAATTAAACGCCAATCAAATTTAACTCTAATTTAAACTTTGAATAAAAACAAAACAAAGAGAAAAATGATTGAGCGACTTATAGCATAATGAACCTTTTAACGCGCTTCTTACTTACCTAAATATTCTCTCTTTTTTTTCTTTTTAACTTGAACTAACTGCCCACTGCCCCCTCTAATCGCTTCGTCCTTCGCTCTTTGCGTGTCTTATATATGTGTGTCACTTATGCATACTAAACACAACGACAACCTTCGAACTTGCACAAACCCGTAACACTATGTCCCTTCGGAATCCTTCATCCGATCCCCCATATACGTTGACACGTTGAACCTTCGATGTGTCCTTCTGCCGAAATATCCCATGGCCAAGATAGAGTACTACGAAGAAGACAAACTAGAGAAACCGTATTACGAGTACCGTTCTTACGAGTCGGTGCAGGAGGTTTGCCGTCCGAAGGCCCCCGAGAAGCCGCCGACTCCACGCAACTTCAGCCTGAAAAACACCACCTGGCCACCAACAAAGGCTATCGAGGACATTACATACCCTACAGCTAGTCCATTGTACATAGATCCCAATTCACGGATCGATCCGCAAATACGACAAGTGAACCTTGAGAGACGCGCCACAGTAGAGTCGGTAATCAGCCGCGAACACACTCGACGCTGCAACATCGCCGAGCAGCAGTACCAGAGTAGCGCCATGGATCAATATAGTTGTCCAGGGCCGCAGTATCGGCGGGTCGAGCTAGTCGACGCGAGACAATCTCGCGAGACGAGCCGGCGCTGCGATCGGCCGGTGTCCAGAACTAGTTCGACCGACAGCGTGCGCAGATCCTTGACTCCGACGAGGATTACTCAGCCGGTGCCTCGCCCCTGGACGGCCACCGTCACCAGCGGCACCAATCTCTATGAGACCTCCTACGAGCAGAAGTCCGAAAACATCTGCCGTAATTTCTGCGATAAGGAGGTGTGTCAGCGCGAGAAGGTTTGCCAGCGCGAACGCTCGTCCGAGCGCTCGGTTTGCCAGCGCGAACCGTCTTGCGAGAAGCAGCAACAGCAACAGCAACCGCCAGCTGGCCATCACCATCACGAGCAACACATGCACCGCGTGGAGGATACTTGCAAGACCGAGGGAGACGTTCACAGCCACGAGCATAAAACGTCGAACGTGTGCCGCTTCACCTGCGAGTCCGACATCGAGGAGGCACCAGAACCACAACCTATGCCGGCAGCCGTGCGAGAACAAGCGCGGGAGGACGAGAGACTGGATCTATCGAAAATCGTGCCGCCGGACGTCGCCATTTGCCCGAAAGGTATCGACGCCGAGCACGATCTTTACACCGAAATCGAAGAGGAGGACAAGGATAACCTGCACATCAAGAAGACGACAACCTACGAGAAGACCGTCGAGTTGGTGACGCCCGATCGAGAAGGGGCCAATCCGTTTGCACAGCAGCAGCAAGACCAAGGCGAAGTCACGCGGGAGGAATTCACCCAAAGATCTTCGACCGTGGATCGAGAGGTTGAGGGTATCTCGGACCATCGACACGTGTCCGAAACCACTGAGACCCTGTCGAAACGAATCGAGTCACAACGGATGATCGAAGAAGCGCGTAAGCATGAAGAAGTCGAGCGCCAGCGTCGCGCCGAAGAGGAGCGCAGGCAACGTTACGAGGAAGAGCAACGAAGACAAGCGGAAGAGCGTGAGATCGCGGAAATGTATCGTCGCGAGGAGCAGAGGAAACGCGAGAAGGAAGAAGCCGATCGCCAAAGATACGAGGAGGAACAACGTCGCATGGCACAAGAGCAAGCCGAAAGATCCGGTGGCAGAGGTTGTCGCAGTGAACAGCGCACCGAGATTGTCGAAGAGTATCACACCGGAGGCGGGTCGCGCGAGCGCATAATCGATGTTCAAGTGGAAGGCCAGAACCCTCCTTGTTCTCAGTGCTCTTACAGCAGCGTCGAGATCGAAGAACGACCGCCGTCGCGCGAACGCATTATTCCCATCCAGAGAGAGGTGGACGAACCGCCGTGCAAGAAGGAAATGCGCCAAGTGACCGAAGAAGTCAATATCAAGCAGCACTGTGAGCACCGTGACTACGAGGAACAACGTCGCAAAAGCTTACGAGAGCAGGTCGAGGTTCATCAGAGCTTACGCCAGCAACAGCAACCGCGCCAACAATCCCTTCAGGAGCGTCGGCTTTGCTCCAGATTCCGTGATCAGGGGCAAGGCCAACAACAGCAGCAGCAGACTTGCTCGAAAAAGCACGTCCAGTTCGTCAAGCAAACGGACGGTGGACCATGCCCGTTGCCATCGCCAATCGTCAACTCCACACCAAAGGAATGGAAATCTGAAATGTGCAAAGCTTTGACCACGGCACCGGATCAGCCTTACTCGCCGCTCGGTAGACCTCAGCAACAGAGCGAAACACGCGAGGTTTACCGCAGTGAAGTCACTTACGAGCAGAACAGTGTATGCAGCAAGTGCCATCCTCAGCTACCACCGGAACCACAGCGAGCCAAATCACCGTTCGTCGAAGCACTGACTACCGCCTCCGATAGGCCGTACTCGCCACTAGGACGGGAAGTCGATCCAAACGCCACTATAACGTGCCGATGCCGGTCGCAAACTCCCGATATGAAGGACACGTACGAGGGTTACAGCGCACCGACGCAGATACTATACCGCAACAAGCCCAAGGAACCACCGCGAAAGCCAGAAGGCCCGAGACCTCTGCCCACTCCACCGCCTGATTTCAAATTCCGCAACCGATCCGTATCTCCGGCTTGCCGCTCTAGATCCCAGACACCTAGCGGAAGAATCTCCTCGTGTGGATTGAAGAGACCAGACAATATCCCGATTTATCAGAAACACTTGGTATGCGAGGAGCAGGCACCAGTTCAGGAACACGATTACCCGCCAAGCAGAAATTCCACGCCAGCTTGCTGTAGCGCTGCGGCAGGCCCAGCCGAACCACCGGCTTGTGTCGCTCAATCTTGTGCTCGAAAACCCGAAGCTGCGTGCACACGAGAGCAGACACCCGATCGCACGGAAACGACTAGATACCATTACGAAGAGGATACTCCTCAGTCCCACAAGACAACGGATACGGTATCTTCGAAAACGATGTCGTGGGTCGGTCAACATCAGCACTTTCAGGTGCACGACGACACGGTCACCGAAGAATGCGACGGTAGCCATCACGTGAGGACAATGGAGCACAAGATCAAGGAATACGACGAGCCCGATGAGCCGTCGTGCTCTCCACCGCCCGCGAACGATGAGTGCTACATAGCTCAGAATACCACGACTACGGTAACCTTACCGTGTCCCACAAAAAAGAAGAACGACCTGATGGACAGGATCAAGAAAACAGGCGTACGCGTGATCGATTCCGGTGCCCCGGAAGTCCGCAGAATTTGCCACCAAATACCACCTCCTGCACCACCAAAGCCACCTTGTCCCATGACGGGTGTGCAGGTTTTGCCCGTCCGAGCTCACGGGGACACGAGCTGCAAATCTGGCGTTGTTGTCGTGCCATGCGACGGTATCGGCGCCGACGGTGTTCACATTAAACCAACGGCCGACCGTTCCGGAGTGTGCGTGTCTCCGTGCCAGGCTGCCACAGGCGGTATCTGCAAGAAACCCAAGTGCTACTGCGGCTCGATGTCTAATCAATGCACGACGAACCTCGGCAACGTCGAGACAACTCGCAGCGTAAACTCCAGCACCTCCACTCAGAGCAGCTGCAACATCAGCGGCTACCGCTCGGTATCGTGTCCCAAGACTCCGCCCAAGTGTCTTGGCGCTTCCAGGGCCAACCTCCCTTTCCCTCAGATCCCCCTACCCGAGGAGGATCCCGAGCCCTCGCCCGAACCCACGCCTCCGTGCTGCCAACAAGTCGGCTCGACCACGACGACCTTCAGCTCGAACGAGTGCACCAGCAGCAGCTTCAAGCCTATCCAGCAACAGCCGCGCACTAACCTATGCAATCAGATAACGACGCTGACGCTTTGCAAGCGCGAGAGCAAGCCGCTGCCGCCTCCACCGCCGCCGGTGCCGACGGTGCAGCTTTACAAGCCTAGCTGCCAGACGCCGCCGCCGCCTCCTTGCAGGACGAGCAGCAGCACGATAACGCAAAATCGATTCCGCCGCGAAACCACCACCACCCAATCCCAAAACCGCACCCAAACCCAGACCCGCTGCCAAACTAGCAAGACCCAGAGTTCAGTAGATCCACCAAATTTGTCATCCCACCCGGATCTAGGTGCTGGTTGCGGATTCGGCGGCAACAAAGGGGGTACCTTCGCCAGCAGCATGGCGCCCAATCGCGGACGCGGTATTCTCAACCAGGCTGGATCAGGACTGCGCATACCACTTTGCGCGGCCTGCAATAACCAAGTCAGGTACTGACGCCCGCGAGGATTGCCATTGCCTGCACGAGCTGTTTGTTTTTTACTTTAGGTTTTCGTTCCTGATTTTTCGCTGATGCTCGCCACTTCTTTTCACTCTCCTATTAGCGGCACGCTCTGACGTACCAGTAACAATCGCACTGCAGTGTATTTTTATTAATTTTGCATAATCGTAATACTATTGATTGTTGTAAAATCGCCGTCTTTTCTTAATTATCATTATCGTTGCAATACTAATGACTAAACATGTGGCATGTGTGTTTGAACAGTTAACGGAGAAAAAACTAAAAACCAGCTGAACGGTCTTAGTCTAAAGCCTGTTTGTTGTAGCTGTAAAGTCGAGATCACAAGGTTTGTACGGCTTATGTAATCGTCAGCGGGCGTTTATCATTCATTGCAGTAAGCGTCTTAGCGAATTGCTAGACTAAATATCACCTGACACTGATGGCGAACCTTTCCAAATATAGGGGTCCATTCATATCGGCACTAGGCCAGATCTGGTGCCCTGAGCACTTCGTCTGCACGAACTCGCAGTGTCGCCGCGGCCTGCAAGACATCGGCTTCGTCGAAGAGAAAGGACAGCTCTACTGCGAATACTGTTTCGAACGTTTCATTGCCCCACCCTGTGACAAGTGCAATAACAAAATCAAAGGAGTGCGTATCGTCGTTCGTTTATCGTTGCCCTGTCAAACCTATATGTATCATATACACCTAACGTATTCGCAGACAATTGCAGTCTAATCTTTATGTTCTTTTAGGATTGTTTGAATGCCATTGGAAAGCACTTCCATCCTGAATGTTTCAACTGCGCGCACTGCGGAAAGCACTTTGGCAACAGTCCTTTCTTCCTTGAAGAAGGGCTACCGTATTGCGAAAGAGGTTCATACATAGCTAATTGTTAAATTTTCTTCTCTCTCTCTCTCTCTCTCTCTCTCTCTATGCTCTTGATTCAATTAATGTTTTTTTTTAATTCTATTTTACTTCTTATGAAAAGCTTAGAAAAACCTTCCTTTCAATTTCAAATATTTGCTTAATTTTCAAATAAAGCTTTAAATAATTTTATTTGATTAATTTAACAATCTAGCTACCCATTATACTTTACTTGCATATCATCACCACGCATTTCCATGTGATTTTGCATTTCGTAAAAAAACAACTCGTATTTCCTTAAATTACCAAGTTTAAAATAAAAATAATGCATTCAACCTGATTGTACTCTTTTACAGACTGGAATGACCTCTTCACGACGAAATGCTTCGCCTGCGGTTTCCCAGTAGAAGCAGGAGATCGTTGGGTAGAAGCTCTCAACAACAACTACCACAGCCAGTGCTTCAATTGTACGGTAAGTATCTGCAGGTGAAAGTTCGACCATCAGCGCACGAAGCATTGACGTGAAATGTTTGCCCTTACAGATGTGCAAAAAGAATCTTGAGGGGCAAAGCTTTTACGCTAAGGGAGGTCGTCCATTCTGCAAAAATCATGCGCGCTAGGCAATCAATGAGCGAACCATCGACAAACAATCGAACTCCTACCCACGAGCAACGATAATCTACACTAAAATAAAGTTGCACGCATCGAAAATAAAAAAAGAATTCTATATATATATATACGTATATTGTAAGCTTACACACGTAATGATAGATAAGAAATATTGAAGAACCTGGATGACGATCGTCGTGCAGATATCGTCGCATTATCTAACTGAACGATCGACACGATTGAAATCTTGTTCACGACTATGAATTTGGATCCAAGCAATTGTACGATTTCTCCGTTTCTCTAACCAGTGATAGAGAAGCGCTTTGAGAATATTAATGATAACATGCGCATTGTCATAGCTATTTTGAGAATTTTTGGCTGGGGGGGATTGCAGTGAGGAGGCGTGTGCACCGAACATGAAAGCTACGAAATACCAAAAAAGTAATGTATATGTGTAAATGTAAGACACTGTGTTGTAGGCTTGAGCGCTTGCCGATTTCTTTTCCGTGTGTGCGCCCATTTCCGGGAAGGCCATCCGAGGGCGGCGAGCCAGCTGAAGTGCAATTACGCGAGAGCCCACGTTCTTGCAATTGATTTTTCGCTCGTTTCACTTCGAGTACTGATATTTACGTTGGAAAAATTCTCACAAGCAGCGCCAATTTTCGCTTTGGGGGGTGCGTTCGCTCGAGCACGCGAGCTATTACAACGAGTTACGAGCACATTTGAAGAAACAAGACGCGGGGGCGAGCTTTGAAAAGAAGTCGTGGGCACAGAGCAAGCTACGCAAGCATCTAAATTTATCGTAAGCGCGAGTCCAATCATTTTACCGACTATCGCATTAATTTAAGCTTATTAATTCTACTCAAATCATAACAAACTTTTTCTTCTGCATTGTTGTCGAAAGCTTCTCGACGCCTTTTATCCTCCTTTGCTTTTTCTTCTTTATCGAAGACGCAAGAGTTTCTCGACTCCGCGGAAGTCGATTTTTCAAGTGCTTAATTATCTACGTGTAGAGAGAGAATTAACGACCGACTAGTTGCCATATTTATTCGCGAACATGTGGTTGACTGACCGCATCCTGTTCTCTTTTCTTTCGTGTCAACTTTTATCTCGTGCTATAATTAATCAGGAAGAAATAACATTTATGCAAAAAAGTCGCTACTTTCAGACTAAAATTGCTTTACGTTTTTGCTTTGAATCAATTAATAACGTAACAAGATGACTACAAAGTTGTAAAAAATTTTAACCAGCTTAATTGCGCGTTTATTTATACACGTTGGAGTGAACGAACCGAGTGAATGTGCTAAAAATAAAAAAAAAATAAACCTTTTAAGTAATAAAAATGGTAACTCACAACGAGATTGCGAATTTTTCATAACCGCGTTCTTCGCGATCGACGAAAAAGAATACCTTGCGAAAACTGGTTTTTTGCTATCAATGTATGCTTCGCGTTTTAAGCAATAACAATAAAACTCAATGAAGAAAATAAACTACGAAAAACATGACCATCAGCACCAATTTTTTTGCAAGTAATGTTCATCAAAACGAATTTCATATATATTGGAGCCTGACTTTTTTATAATTTAAAATGTAAGGATTTCGTTTGGAATCTTTAGGGGAATTTTTTGTTTTGTGTAATTATTGCGTGATGCTTAAAATGAAGCCCACGCATCCGTGTTATGTGTTGCTTACAATAAAGTTAATTACAAAAAAACCTATTTTTGTTGTATCATTATAGTCATTATGCGAATAAGATTTTACTTTAAATAGACTGTCTTTAGAATTTTATTTTCATTCTTATAGGTTTTATCTTATAAGCAATTGCTACTAAAGTCATTGAAATTAGTTTGACTTTACGATTGTTTTATTAAATGATCAATTGTTTATGTTAACATTTCTGAGCATTGTTTAAATCATGTGCGATTTGTCTCAAAATCCTTGGAAAAAGATGATCCAAAAGAAAAAAGAGTTAGCGATAAGGCCTCTATCACCGATGTAAAGTACGTGAAACGATCGACTCGAGAAGCGAGAGCTTCAATGACCGCGGCATAAAAAGCAACCGGGAGTGCGGGATACAGAAGCTCAGCGAGGCCTAACGCACAACGACGCCTCTTCCGAAGAGCGACCGCGGCAGCGCGTCAAGGCGCAACGAGGCGGCGGGCCAATCGATTTGTCATTACCGCGCGAGCTGCACACCTGCGCGAGTGCGCGGAGAAACGCCAACTGCTCGCGGGTCCAAGGGTAAGATGGGCGCGCACGCGAAAGCGAACCGACCGGATCACGAAAGCTCATCGCCGTCGCGTCGCGGCGAGGTGTGCGGCGGCTCCGCGCGGCAATTTCGCCGATCCGCTCGCCGACCGCGACAGTGCCGGCGCCCGCGACGACGGTTGCTTCCGACCGACTCGACTGCCGGACGAGCGCGCTTCGCCCGAGAGGACCTCCGCGCGATATCCACTCGAGCGAGTCCAGACTCGATTCGCTCATCCTCGCGTACAACGGCACTGGATTAGCGATAAGCGCGCTTGCGGCCACGCGCTCGCGTCGGCAATTTTGCCGCGAGTATGTGACTTTACGATGTCTTGATGAAAGTTGGATGCGGCGATTAAGCGCACTTGAGCACGCTTCTACTCGGTCAATTGCTTATCTGACCGAAATTGTGGAGAGAAAGAGCCTATTTTGGCAAGTATCACCGAGAAAAAGAACGACATCGAAGACTTTCTACTTTTGAATGCGCGTGTAATTATGTCGTTAACTCAGGCTCGCTGGCTGTATTGCGACAACCTCGAAGGTAATTGCCTGACTTTCAAACTATTCCAGCTCGAAGACGTTTCGTTTTAATAAGTACATTTCGATGTACTCCAAATTTATTTTTACGCTTTTGCTTTCTTCTCTTTCTTATTACGTTACGGATTATCCTGCTCGCGAGCAGATCAACACGAACGAGAGTATAGATTCCAAGATTCCACGTCGAGACGCGAAGTGTGAACGCGAAGGGAACTCGCGAGGCTCAATAGCGATGTCATTGATACGAAAGCTTCACGAACAGTCATACCCGCGCTCGATGGTAAACACAATAAAAGTCCACGGGAATCAGTGGCGATAGTCGAAACAAGTCAGGCACACAATCCAGCCAATCTCGTTCGGCGTATCGCGCGCCTGCTTTCGGCTTATTTGTCTATTTTCGTGTGCGGCAACGAACTTTTTCAAACTCTTGTACACGCTATATACGAAGGCATCATCTCTCTTCCGCACCCTCGTACGAGGGGGGGGGGCGAAGTGGGAACACGAATAAAAAAAAATAAACGAAGCTTCCTGGTGGTAGTAGTGGTAGTGGGGGTAGCGACGGAACTGGTAGCGCGCACCTGCGAGTTCGCGTGCGCCAGTGAGTATCGGGGTAGTGAGTCGCGTGCACCACACGAGAGAGAGAGAGAGAGAGAGAGGGAGAGAAAGAGGAGCAGCGGTGGCACCAAAGAGGAGCTCATCATCGCAAGAGTTGGTCGTCTCGTCACGATGGACACGTACATATATATATATATATATATATATATATATATATATATATATATATATATATATATATATATATATATATATATATATATACACAATTTATCGCGTAGTTCGCTGAGGTTCTAATTTACTAGGGATGAGAGACAAGAATTGATTGCTCTTTTGGAGCTTTGTCGCTCAGCGTGTTTTGTTTGCTTACTACTATCGATAAGCTGTGTAAAACGCGGTTGTTGACAGTATCTTGGCGTTCGCATTTTTCTTCGTATTTTTCTTATGAATATTAATTCCATCTATTAATCGACTGGTTTGTTACAATTCCTTGGCTGATTCTTCATTTTATAAAGAGCAACTTTCCCATTTCATATCATTACAGACGATATAAGGTAAATAATTAAATAGACGTGGTTAAATTGAATGAAGCAAAAATAAAATTACGATTGATTATTGAATCTGCTTATTTGAATGCTTGTATAGGCTGCCTTATTGTTTATCCCACTTCGGCTTAAAAATGAAATGGGGCGAAAGATTGCAGTAAAAATAATCAATGGCATTCTAAATAAAGCCTTTTCCATCGTGACCTTGAATTTCATGTTATCAAGTCATTCCATCCGTCAGGTGCATATAAATATCCATCTGTTTCGCATATCCGAATACGTAGGTTCGCTATAATCGAGGAAAGCCCTCGACCAACAATCAACAGTTTATCTCGAACATTCAAATTGTCTGGCTGCATGTATGTGTCAGGTGCTGTCTGGAACGCCGTGTGCAGTTTACGCAGTCATTGAAGGAGTTAGAACAGCCAAAAGAAAAATAGACATCCGATACTTTTTATAGCCCCGAGCCACGCCAATATTTCACTTGCTGTGCAGTTGCTATCGGCGCTTGTGCTTCAGGAGTTTTTCAAAACTACGTTGTTTCGCGAGGCGCGTAGCAGCGCGGTATAATTGCGAATTCACGAGCTGCCGTTACTTTTCGACAACTCCGTGGTGGCGGCTGCCGCGGCGGATTTATCGTTTGCGTTCACACGTGCCGCCAAGCGCGAATGAACACGCATGCGAACCGTTGTAGTTCGCGGTGCCCATTCATTGGATCGTCGAGAACGACTAAGAAGAAGAAACGAGCCGCGGTCGCGTTGAGCGTGATGCAGTCGGACACGATGTCGCCTCAGTTGGCGTTGAGGCACCGGCGAAACGGCATCGTTCCACTGCGGAACAAGCAAAAGCTCGTAAAATAAACACGGCTCCTCCTCGCATACACACGTCGCGCAATGTGGATTCGCGCGCGCGCGCACGCGAAGCAATAAAGCAAGAAGGTCGCGTTAAATCGGCAGTCGGTCGCACTCGAGCGGAGGAGGTCGCGCGAGCGCGCGGGCGTCGGATGCGGCGATCGGATCGCTGCCACCTACGAGCGCGGTTGCACGTGACGACGCGTGGTGCAAGCTCGGCGGCATCGCGGAATCGCTCGCCTGACAGCCGGCCACAAATCGTCACTGCACAACACCAAACACCCTCTCGAGGGCGCTTCGCCCCGCGCGCGCGCGGCTGCCTCCTTGTCATTCGTGCCTTAGTCCGCTCTCTCCAAAAATAATAAACAATGGGCGCGACTCGGTCGGCGCTTATGCGCTTGCAATTGGCTTCTCGGGGGGAGTGGGGACGAGGGATTCGCGTGCGAGGACTTTTAGCACGTAGCCTGCATTTGATTGCGCGCAGTGGCACTCGAGGCACCATAGCGAGAAGGACGTCGATCGATCCGGCTGCTGCTGGCAGGCCGCTGTCGTTGGACTATCGCTCTTGGGGATAGGCAGATATCGTTCAAGGACCAGTCAGGATGACGGCCACCGACATGCCACCACTCAACACCCTCGATGGGCCATTCGTCTTTCGGCTTAACGACAACGGCGGTGGACCCCATCTGCTAGTACAGGTCACTTCTTATTTTCTGATTTTTATTTTCAAAATTCGTGGAATATATTCGTCTTTTTTAAGTTTAAAAACTGCACGCGATTTTTTTCCTTAATTATTTCGCAGTTTTTCATCATTAATTCTTTTCGGTGTATGCATCGGAAATAGGAATTATAAGCCCAGCAATGTCACAACTCATAATCCAAGATTATACTTTTAGCAAGCGATCCGTCATGCAAGTCTTGTCATTTGCAAATCACTTTTCTCGAGTTTAATTGAAATGTCTCACGTGATAAATATATTTTTAAACTAGTTGCAAACATCAGTAATAATTGTAAGCTTAAAAAGTCCTCATTTATCTCAATTTGTAAAAGTTTTGAAGCCTGTAATTTGAAAGTTTGCTACTCAACTGCAATTTTATGAAGCTAGCTATATTTATGCCTGCGCAAATGATCATAGTCCCTGATTTATCAAACAGTTTTAACACTTGGCAAATAACGCAGCTTGGAATCCAAAGCGACACTGCTGGGATGCCAGGACCTTTGTTAGTTTGTGATAAGAAGTGAACTAGAAATGGCTTCCATTGTGCATTCGCAGAAAAAAGGTACTCGCTGTAAAATGTTTGAACCGAGCATAACGCTGGAAAAAGGCTGTATTCGGTGCTTCCGAAAAGAATCATAAAAAAGGAAGCTCAGTCGATCGGAAACAGATACTCGGAATAATGAAGGGTTCGTCGAACTGTCCTTCTCATCAAAGTTAGTCGAAGTTCGTCCTCGAAAGGAAGGAAGGAAAACTCGATAGGCGCCCGCTTCGCGCACACGCAAAACTTGCGCAACCGAGAGGTCGAGAGACGAGGACTGCTATATAATAATATACGTAGTGCCGGGATTGCACGGAGATACATAGAGGAAGAAAATGCCGTGACGCGATATCCGGTGACTTATAATTGTAGGACTCGGCGAGCGGTAATGTGAGCGGTAATCACGGGGCCATAAATCAGACGAGCGCAAAAGGCTGTTCGTGCGCCCTCGCCAATCAAATTCTCGGGAGTTTCGCCGCTCACGAAACTCCTGGGGACGACTGCGTCTCTCGATTTTGCCGATCATCCTTCCGATGCGCAGGTTTGCACGGAACGAGGGTGGCGCGAGTACGCGGGCGACAGCAGTGTCCTGAAGGAGCGCTGGAATCTGTGGTGGAAGTCGGGCGGCTTCTCTCTGTCCAGCTACAAGTCGCTGCTGCCCTGGCAGTTCATCAACCGGATACCCAAGGCCAACTCGATCTGCAGGAAGGACAACCTGATGCGGCACTTGAAGTGCATGAGGAAGGTTCACGGCAACGTGTATGACTTCAGGTAAGGTCAGGGGTGGGTGGTCGCGCGTGCCGCTTGACGAGCGTGGCTGTTGCAAGTAGCCCGCCGGGATACAACCTGCCGTCGGAGTACACCAGGCTCGCGGCGGACTGCAGCCGCCTGGAGAAGGACGAGCGAACGTGGATCTGCAAGCCAGTGGGCCAGAGCCAGGGCAAGGGCATTTTCCTGTTCAGAGTGGGTGGCGAGGGTTAGCCGCGCGGTCGGCGACGAGCGGCGCCTGATCGGTTTGTTGCTGTTCGCGCAGAAACTCAGCGACCTGACCTACGATAGCGTGGCGGTGGTGCAGAGGTACATCGAGAACCCGCTGCTCATCGGCGGCTACAAGTTCGACCTGCGGCTGTACGTGTGCGTGCCCTCGTACCGGCCGCTGGCCGTCTACCTCTACCGGGACGGCATCGCCCGCTTCGCCACGGAGAAGTTCTCCCTGGAGAGCATCGACGACCCCTTCCGACACCTCACCAACTTCTCCCTCAACAAGCTCGGCCCCGGCTACTACGAGAAGAAGGAACGCGTCGGCGCTGGTGATCGCGTTTGCCACTTTCCTCGCTCCGCTCTCGCTTCGCCGCCCTGACCGTCGCTTCTTCTCTGTCAAGGCTGCAAGTGGACTTTCCGACAGCTCAGGAGGTACCTCGACCAGTCGGGCTACTTGGACTGGCTGCTGTGGCAGCGCATCGCTTCTATAGTCACGCTCACGGTCCTCAGCCAGGCGGCTGGCATTCCAAAGTCCTCCAATTGTTTCGAGTTCTTCGGATTCGACATCTTGATCGATGACAATTTGAAGCCCTGGCTACTTGAGGTTAATGCCGCGTTAGCTCATCGCTCGCTCGCAGCCATTCCAAAACTTGACCTCGATCATTCATTCAAGGTGAACGTTAGTCCTGCACTGAGTAACGACTGCGAGGTCGATTCCGAAGTGAAAAAGCCTCTGCTGCACGATTTGTTCGATCTGCTGGGCTTACCAGTCTGCAACACCGGCTTGTCACTGTTCACGCTTTGGGCCTCGGCTAACGTCGAGGAAGAGGAGGACGACGAAGCGACTCGATTCTACAACAACAAATGCCTCAAGAAAAGGTGCAAGTTCGGCCGCGAACCCATCAAAATTGTCAATTTCTGTTCCGATGCGAAAGCTATGGTAACGAATGATCTTTCGATAAGAGGCTAGCTGGACGCAGTTACACCCCCAGATCAATAATTAAGTTTCAGCATCAGCAGCCTTCGGAAATATGCTCCGAGAGTTCGGAAAAAAATAATCGACGTGGTCTAAAAACTCAATGCAGCAGAGAGCAACAATCAGATTTAATGTGGGACAATGGACGAGATTGGCGAAAGCCAAGCAAAAAGGAGGGATCGTGGATCAGGGTTTGTCCGTTGATGGAGCAACAAATTACGGGAACCGTGGAAATGGCCAATGGATATACCGAAGCTCCAAAATATATTGAAAAGGAAATAAAAGCTACTGTTCTTTGTATTCAAAAGTACGAAATTCACGACGTTCATTGACCTCATTTTTTCTCTATTTCATCATTGTTTTCATTTATTTTAGATATTTAAAAACTGCCAAAGATATTCATCGAAAATATGGAAAACAAGGAGATGAAAAATGTAACGACATGCTGCGAGCAGCACTCGAACTTGAAACGGAAATTTGGCTTCCTAACAAGTGATTTTTAATTTAAGACAAAAGCAAAGTTAACTCGACCATTTGAAAACGTGTTCAATTTAAAATAAATGCTTTAAATATAGAGATTGTATTGATTAAAAGAGATTGAAATGAAAATCAAAACGACTTATTTTTACCAAGTAAAACTCGGTTTATTCGTTTTTTTTAGTGAAAATTTACATTAGTTTACTCCTTTGGCTGCTAATCTCTTGTCGCGTTCCTCGGCAATTGTGAGCTTAACACCGTTGCCTTTTGGCAAACTGACGTATGGCTTCAGACCCTTGCCAATAACAAATACATTGTGCAGCCTGCAATGCAAATTAGACATTGTTATAGAAGCTAAGACTGAAGAAAAGGATAATTTTTATATAGGATTGGTGTATCCTTCTTGGGTAATACGGATAGACTGATATTTAGTCAATCAGTGACCAAAATGAAGGATAACTTTTATTTTGGCTAATTTTTGACTGAAATATTCATGCATTGTCAAAATTTCAGCTTCGATATAGCCAATACTTTTACGTAAACAGATAAATTATAAAATACACATAAACAAATTTCATATGCTTTTCAATTTTCAATGTATTATAAAATTTCTTCAAATTTCAATTTAATTTAAGGCACTTCGATCAAATTATTCTACTACAAAGGTTTTATATAGAAAAATGAAATTTACCTTGTGGCAAAGACGTGGCCTTGTGCATCTTTGATGTGACAAATATCGAACGAACCTTGATGACGTTCACGGTTGACAATAGTACCAACACGACCCAAATTTCTTCCACCAGTGATCATGCAGAGATTTCCTATTAAATTATTGAATAAAATTATAATATGCCTCGAAATAATTTTGGTAAAGTAATAATAATGGAAGTAAAATATTGAAATTTACCAGTATCAAATCGGATGGAGTCAAGAATTTTTCCAGTTGAAATTTCCAACTGGATAGTGTCATTCACCTTGATTACTGGATCAGGATAACGTATAGTTCTACCATCGTGAGTGACAAGGAAAGGAATGCCTTTAGGTCCAGTCTGTACACGTCTGACTTTACACAGTTTGTACTGAAATAAAATGATATTTCTTTAGTACTGCATTAAAAAAAGTATTAAAAACAATAGGATTTATTATTTACCTTAGCCTCAACTGAGGTGATACGATGGATAGCAAACCTACCCTTAACATCATAAATCAGACGGAAGAACTCATTTGTTTTGTCAATTGTGATGACATCTAAAATGTATAGATAAAACTAGTTAGACTAAACTGACTTGATTTAAATAATAAAATGATTGCTTTGTTATAAGATTGTATCCTATCTGGGTAATACTGAAGAAATATTTAATAACTCAAACAGTGACCATAGAAAGGATTTTTATTTCAGGCCATGTTTTACTACAAAATTATACATAAAAATATTGTAGCTTTAATACAGGCCATAAATTTAAGAAACCAATGAAATATAACATGAAAACATATAAATTTTATAATAGTAAAAAAAGGTGTCATGTAATTAATATAGATAACTGTTGTAAAATCACAAAATAAATTCTTTAAATTGCTTTGAGTAAAGAATCTTAACTTACCCATGAAACCAGCAGGGTAATTTGCATCAGTGCGCACTTTACCATCAACCTTGATCAAACGTTGCATCACAATTTTAGTGACTTCACTATTGGTCAAGGCATACTTCAGCCTATTACGCAGGAAGATAACTAAGGGAAGAGACTCCCTGAGTTTGTGTGGACCAGTAGATGGCCGTGGGGCATAGACACCCCCAAGCTTGTCTAACATCCATGCCTTAGGGGCATTAAGACGCTTCAAGTGCTTTTTTGGTCCGCGGGCCTATGGACAAATATTTATATGTAGACATTTTAATTGTTAAATAGGACTTACTTGGTTCAGACTCAATACACTTTTAGCATCAGTGAAAAACACTCGATAATCGCGGAAAAGTAGTAAGCATTGATTAAACAATTATTTGAAAAGTAAGTTAAGTGTACATATAACCCCGCATACCGGAGTAACCAATATAGGTTAAAATACCACGTTGTTTATAGAAAAATTACTCGGTAAACATTGATAAAACAACCAGTAGACAATTTAATTCAATGCTAAGCCATTGAATGTAGCTCAATAAAAGTATAATTACATTACAGCTTTAATAATTAGCACAAAAATTTTGCGGAAAGTTGGAACGTCGGCTCCACTGTTCAATCCATTTTTTTGTTAAACTGCGAATTATGGCACCAAATACACACGCGATATTGCACTTCAACATTGCTATTTCATATTTTACTAAGCAGAACAACCGTTCATGCTTATAATCCAATGATGCGAGTGGATTTAAAATTAAAAACGCCAACTCGACTTACCATCTTGAATTTCTAAACGGAAAAGGCTCTGTGTAGAGAACGCCACGGCCACACGCGGAATATCAGATCTGAGTCTGAGGTCAGAAAGAACATAGTCGCGCCACTTTCACCAACATGGCTGACACATTTAAATCGAAAATGTGTTGGAATTATGTGGTAAATTAATTTAATGCTTAAGGTGTATTGTTATTGGCAAGGTAAATCATAATTTTTAACTATTTAGGTAAATAATTTAAAAATAATTGATACAAAATTTATTATATTTTTTCTATAACAATCACGGTTTGGAAATTTTTTATGAAAAAGTCTTGCATGGATAATCAGTAGAAAATTTTTCTCCAAGTACTCAAATTTATTTTTAACAACATAAAATCATCTTGCTACAGTATAAAAATATAACAATTCTTGTTATACAAAATAAGTCTTTTAATTAGTATTAATCAGTTATCTGTATAAAAATAAAATTTATAAAATTAAACCAAGGCAGCAATAAATGTATAAAATAAAAAAAATATTTTACAAAAATATTATTGTTATTACTTCAAAGCATGTACAGTTTTGATAATATTATCAAGTACACTTGAAGCTCCAATTCTAAATAAGTCTTTAGACAACCACTCGTTACCAAGCTCTTTTTCAATGAGTTTCATCCACTGTAAAGTATCTTCTGAAGTTTTAATTCCACCAGCTGGTTTTAATCCGACCTATATTTAAGAAATGAAAAAAATCTTAATTAAATAACAATAATTTCCTTTAGATAATATATAATATAAATAAAAAAAACTATACTTTTCTTTGGTGAGTAACATAATAATCTTTAATAGCTTTGCACATGACAACTCCTACTGGAAGAGTTGCGTTTACAATTTCTTTTCCAGTTGATGTTTTTATGAAGTCAGAACCAGCTAACATTGCAACAATAGAAGCAATATAAACTTCTTTCAAACCAGGTAAGTCACCTGTGGCCAATATAGTTTTCATTTTGGCTTTACCACATGCTTCTTTCATCAATGTTAATTCATCATAAAGTTCTTTCCATTTATGCTCCAATGCTAGTTTCCTACTTATAACTATGTCAATTTCATCCACTCCATATTCAACAACTTGTTTAACTTCATCGATGCGTTGTTTCAGTGGAAGAGCTGCAGCAGGAAAATCTCCTGCAACTGTTTTTTAAGATATAATAATTATACTTATTGCTTATTTTATTACTCAATTATTATTAAAAACAATTGAAAATATACACATACCACTTGCTACCTCTATTTTATCTCTTACATTTAAATCTTTTAAAGCTTTGATTGCATCACAAGCACTAGCAGGAAAAACACAAACTGCTGCAGTATGTATTGGATTTTTCCATTGCAAATTGACATCAATTACATTTGCAGCCTAATTAAAAAAATTAACCTTGAATTAACTATATTAAAATTTTTGACCAAATCAAACTTATTAATAAAATAAAGTTTTACCTTTTGACATAGCTCTTTTATATCTTCAAAAGTTTCACCACCTTTTAGACTCGTTAAATCTAAATAAGTAATAGCATTAAGCAATAATTTAACTTTATCTTCACTATTCACTAGTTCTGCTTTATTTATGATTTCATCAACTTTTTTATTTATTTCAGATTCACTAATATCTCTAATAGAAGCTTTTTCTGAAAAAACCAATGTTTCTACTTTTGAATATGTATCTTTAAATAAGTATATTAGAAAGAGTATTTTTTAACCTATGTTTTTATTTACCTATGTGAACTAACACAGAAGCAGTCACGTCCGACATTGTTATGGAAATTTAAGATTTGAACTGATATAGGAGGTCGATTAAAACCATAGGAAGTAGGAATGATAAAAGAGAAAGTCACGTTAGCAGGATAGTAAATTATTTAGGTATGTTTACCAAAAATTATAAGAAAAGAACTGAATAATTATAGGAAAATGCAGGAGTAAGAAAAATGCAGCCGGTTATACCTACAGGTCACTAGTCTATCTCGGAAACGAATAATATGATAAGCGGAAACTGCGATACAACAGCGGCAAATTTTAAACTAACTTAAAAAAATATAAGAAATGCATCAATACTTACTATAAAAATCATCAATTTTGTTAAAGTAAAAAATAACATTTATATTGATTTAATAAAAGGATTTTTATTAATATTCATAAATCTTGCTATCTTCATGTACATATTTACAATGTATATTTCATTGGATATAAATAATAAATAAATAACTAAACTACTGTAAGTCATCCGCAGCACATCACGGTATTCAACATACTTTTCTAAATACATGAGTTTTCGTTTAGTATCACAATAGTAATACTACATTTGTAACTAAAAATGTATCAACAGATAAAATAATTATTCTCTTAATAACATTGTAGTTTTTGAACCAGTCAATTTTTAAAATTCTAAATATTCTACTATTATCTGTGGTATTCCCATTGATCCCAATATGCTGCTGTTTGCATTTCTGCCAATCTGGATACAGTTCTGTCAAATGCAAACAGTTCTTCTTCACCAGTGAAAATATTTGATTTATGGTCATCCTGCAAAAATTCTCATTAGATTTTATTTCTTTGAAACAGTTCATTCTGAAGAATCCAATATAATCTTACAGTTCCATGAGATATTTTTAAATCATCCATTAGCATACGTTTTTCATCTGTGAATTCTTCATCTCCTTCAGGTACAAATAGCTTATTATATGGAGCTACAGCTGAAACTACAACTCGCACCTAGGATTGGTTAAAATATTTTAGTTTTTCAACAACTAAATTTATTCTAATAATATCAAGAAATAATAACTCACTCTATTATCATATAATGTGTCTATAAGTGTAATAAATCTTCTAGCTTGGGACTTTGTTTTTAAGTTAAGTTGAGGAACATCACGAATAATAACAGTATGAAAGGCTTGTGAAATTTCAATATAATCGCTTGCTCCAAGTGGTCTATCACATAATTCTGTAAATGTAGAATCCATGATTTGACCACATGTTTTCTCGAAAGTAACATTTCTGCCTTTTACATTAATAATTCTAGGACGAACAATGTCATTTTCCATGGAACTTAAGTATTTGAAAATCTTTTCAATAGCCTTGTCAGATTCTTCTCCCTTGCTAAAATAAAAATGAAAATTCTATATTTTTTCTGATGATATCTGATTATCTTATTTTCTCATAATTTTTTCATACATACATAAAATAATGTTTTTCTTTTCCTAACACTCCTTTTGCTCTATAATCAATGCCAGAATCTAAGGATGTTATCTTACAATGATCTTTTAATACTTGGATAAATGGTAGAAAATTTCCTCTTTGTAATCCATTTTTGTACAAATCATCAGGACTTCTGTTACTTGTTGCAACCATCACAACTCCTCTATCAAAAAGTTCAATAAATAATCTTTTGAGTATCATGGCATCTGCAACATCTGTGACCTGTATAATTGTATATTTGTTAAAATAAAGCAATCATATTCTGTGATCAATAAGAGCTGAGGTAAAGTTATAAATACTCACTTGAAATTCATCGAAACACAACAACCACGTATTTTTAGTAATTGATGCAGCTACTGGTGCTATTGGATCAAAAGGTTGTAGCTTTGTAGTACTATAATCTCTTACCACACCCTTCTTTACTTCGTGTATTCTACTGTGGACATCCAACATGAATGAATGAAAATGAACTCTTTTCTTATTCTCTACCTGTTAACATTTGAATGAAAATTGAAAATAGAATCTTTATTAGATAAAAATCATGGGAGTAAAATGTATTGTATGAGGAATGACTAAAGATATCTAAAAAATATTTCCTTCTCACAATACACTTATAATTGAGAGCTTGGATACCTGACAACAATTATAGAAAAGGTCCATCAACATTGTTTTACCTCCACCTACTGCACCATAGAGGTAGAGCCCTTGAGGTGTATTCTTGGCTTTCTTGTTTTTACCACCCATCCATTTTGTTAAAAAACCTTCTCTTTCTGGTTTGTAGGCCTGAATATTTTGGTAAACTTGCTGCAGTTCCTCAACTATTTTCGATTGATGCTCATCATGCATTAGTTCACCTTTTGCAACTTTTTTTTTTAAAACTTCAATAGGACTGTTGGGATCAACATTTCTGGCACTATCGGAGTAATTGTTACATTGCATTTGCAAAATAACAAATGGACGATGCAGCAAGAGATTTACATAATTCATGCTCACAGGTGTTTGAGCGAAAACCCGTGCCATTATTGTAAATTTTTACTGGGAAATCGTCAATATTCTGATAAAATTCAGCAATGAATGAATAAATTACGGAATTAATTATAAAAACAGGTATAATCTAATTAACATATGAAATCAATGCAATACTTTTACGTGTATATATGCATATTTAAAACGTTCAAGATTGTGTAACAAAACATTATCACTTGCAACATACGTTTGACAAAAATTAAATTAATTATATTAAAGACTTCATGATTTTCCAAGTTAATAAAATTCATTCTTACGTTTAATGGTCGAAAATGTTTTCCCAAGAGAGCCGCGCCTGGTCGCAACTTGAAAAATTTAGTCCAAGGAAGTTCCGTACGAAAAAAATAATTTTGAATGCCAAGGTGACTTATTTTCAAGCACGTGAGTTGATGTATATAACTTTAATAGTCTAAAAAAAAGCGTTACGTTAGGTGTATGAAAGTGTCGCATTGAGTTGTCTTTGAATAATCATAATGTTAGAATGAAATTTGTTTTCGTAGTGAATTTATTGAGGGCGAAAAATTTTGATACAGAAGCTCTTTAGTAATCCGAATTTTTCCTGATCGACGAGCTAGTCGCGACTCGCGACTGCTCGAATTTGTGCTTTCAACGCGTGCGCCTTTTCTCTTTCCTCCCACCAATATTCTGTATATGTACTTTTTTACTGCTATAGACGCACGTGAGGCAAGGCGTTGATTGGATTGAAACGACCCTAGCAGAAAAATGATTGATTTAAAAAAAATATATACCATTAGCTTTGTCTTATTTTTTAAAATTATGAATGTCTTCTTTTTAATTTGTACCATCTACGAAATCCAAAAAATGAATTTGTACCCCTGTAGAATTTGAATTATACAGCGTTTTTCATAGAAACACAGTAAAGTGAAAAAAAATTAATAAAATCTATGATCCTGGCAGAAAAATGGTGAATTTTCTTTCATAAAATTTAAGTAAATAGCTTCATTTCTATTTATACTATTCAAAATTGTCTAAATTATCTTTTTGTACCCCTCCTATTTATGGCTAAAGGAACTCAGCAGGAAGTTAACGAAAATCGACCGAAAAAAATTATAGAAAAACTGCGCGTGGTTAACAAAGATAGCAAAAGTTATTTATAACTCCGCGCAATCTAATTTTCATTGATAACAAAATTATCAAAGTCGATCACTCACAGATCATCGATAACTGTATCAGCGTGAAGTTTTAATAAAGTTTTTAGAGAGATAAATCCGTTCAATCGTTAGCAATAATCTCGCGCATTTTTTTATCCAATCGAAATATTGTTATAACCATCCGTTAAAGAATAAATATTATTTCTCACTACAGTCATATACATATGCATCTGACATAGATATTGTAAAGGCACAACCTCAAATTATAAAAGCTGTATTAATAGGAATGGGTTATTTTCTGAAATAACCGTCAATATCAACTATTAATTAGAAAATACATAACAATCCGCCGAGAAAAGAGATTTTCCGCAGCGCGGAAGACACGAAATTAGAATCGTCGAATTAGACTACGAATTAATTTTTTTCTCAATATTTTCGAGGGGTTCAAATTCCAAAATAGCTATTTTTCGACTGGTACTGATTAAGGCAAGGCTGGTGGTGTATTTTGTTTTAGGAATAAATATTTTTCCTATCACAGTTTTCTACTTTATCATCCGAGTAATCAGCTGTTTTTGAGGAGTTTAAGAACACACGTTAACTTAGGACTTTGTATATTAACATGTCTAATTAAATTTTAGAGTGTAAAAATTACAATAAAATTATTTTTAGTTGGTAAAATTTAAGGAAAAGCAAGAAATATATTTTTTTTTTCTTAAGAAATAAAAGATTTTCTTGTAAAATTTATCAGTATTACAATTGCACAAAAAACATTGTATTATTCAAATTCTACAGGGGTTCAAATTAGTTTTATGTATTTTTTAGATGGTACAAATTAAGAAGAAGGCATTCATAATTTATTGTTTTCTAAATCGCATATTTTTCTGCTGGAAGATAGATTTCTCGCCGCGCATGCGCAGTAATACGTTAATTTGATTGGCTTATCGGCGCTCAGTCAGAGACCCACCGCCATCTAGTAAAGTAAAGTAACGTTAATTTGAGTCAACGCATGCGTTTTGGCATATCGGAGTCTCAGCCATGGAGACTATATACATAGTCTCCATGGTCTCAGCTAAGAGACCCATCGCCATCTAGTAAATTAAACGTTAATTTGAATTGATAATCTACCATACGAAAATCTTTTTTTTCTCTATTTTTAGAGAGGGTACAAATTTCAAAAAAGCATTTTTCTGATGGTACAAATTAAAATGAAACTAGTGGTATATTTTATTTTTTTTAATCAATCATTTTTCTGCCAGGGTCATTTCGATGACATTGTTAAAGATAGAATATACATAGGAGGAAAGTGAACTACACCATATGAGCCATACTTCATGTGTACTAGTAAATAAATTTGATACAAAAAATAACACTAGAACATTTATATGTAAGATAAACAAATTGTGTAATTTGCAAAAGATTAATTCGTTTACGGCTTGAACCTTATTTAAACATCCCGTGTCCTTCCCACTACCGCAAATTTTCCTTGTATATAATCATCATAGTTACTCCGTCGCGTGAAAGTCTAGTGATGATGATGTGATGTTGCTCTAGGCTAGCACTCCTCACCTTTAAGTTAAAGAATGAGGAGTGAGAACTAAGAATGCGACTAAATTCTGATGAGTGTAGTGGACGGAGCCGTAGAGTTTAGAGTTTTGAGTGTCGATTATCCTATGATCGTGAAGAGAAATTGTAAAAATATTTGAAGCCCAGTGTATAATTCTTACATTCAATTATTTCACGTGATTTGGCGAACAAGAAGACTCGGAGACAAGGACAACATATAGATTAAGTGGTGCGCAAGACGGTGACAAGAAAACTGTGCGCCCTGCAACTAGAGCAACCTCATTATTTCTGAAATCTTCAATATTAAATCCTGTCACCAGCATAACAAACTAAATAAACGTGCATTGGGCATTGTAACGTAGCGGTAAGTAGCAGTTGCAACTATGAATTAGGAATTGACGAGGTCATCACAACATAAAAAACTGCGCGCCAATTAAATTTTGTTGCTGTTGCACAGTGCATTCCATTGATGAGTGAAATCGTGTGAATAGAAAATAAAAAGTCGAGTGAGTGCGTGAATATGTTGGTGAAAAATTTGGTTGAGACTCTAGAAGCAGCCCACGATGCTCCAATTCGTGGATGCTCGACGCCACATTGTATCAAGTTGCCTACTGTCGAGGAACTAGATTCTGACTGCAAACAACGTCGCAATGACTTTATGGCTGCGGGAGCGACTCTCTCCGCAGCAGTTCGTCAGCCAACCGACAAACTCGCTCAAGTTCTCGAGTCAAAAGGCAGAAAGATCATTCAGCAAAAGCTTCTCAGCGAGAACCATAAGCTCACCGAATACTTTCCAGTGCGTCGCAGCATTCGAAAATGTAAGAAAGTTGTTCTCGAAGAGCAACAACGGGACCTTGAAAACAAAGTGCTCTGCGGCGCTGAGGACGGGCTACAGGTGAGACTCGTCAAGTTGCTACACTTATTATGTGATAGCGGAAGCCTAACTGTTTCATCTCTTACTTATTTGTATAGGTCAGGCATTTTCCCGGAAAAGGACGCGGAGTGGTGACCACTCGAAATTTCGTTAAAGGGGAGTACGTTGTAGAATATGCTGGGGAACTTATTGATTTGACAACAGCAAAAAAAAGAGAAGTCAAATATGCTAAAGATCAAAATGCAGGTTGCTACATGTATTACTTTCAACATCGCAATCAACAATACTGGTAAATTACTTACTAGAAACAATTTTCTTTAATCAATCATTTATAATTATTCCTATTTTTTCAAGTGTCGATGCTACAGCTGAATCCAGCAAATTTGGAAGGCTAGTTAATCATTCTCGTAATGGAAATTTGACAACTAGAATTGTGACGGTTAAATCTGTACCACATCTTGTGCTGATAGCTAAAGATGATATACCTGTAGGAGTAGAAGTAACTTATGATTATGGAGATAGGAGTAGAGAATCTATTCGTAATCATCCATGGCTAGCATTATAGTAAATTTTAACTGATAGATTTTTACATGTGTATTATAGCTGAATAACAATGTGTGATTTCTAATTTTTTTTGAATATCAAAGCTTTTGATACAATTTATCCATCTACAACAGTACTTACCAAATAATATCAATATATTTAATAGAATCAGATTGATATGATTTATAATTCAAATTATAATGTAACTGTTTGGATATGACCTAAAACTGTGAGCTGTTATGCAAGTTATTTGTTCAATTATTATGAACAATAAGAATAATTTCTTATAACACTATTAACTTCAATATTATTAATATTCAAACGAGTATTATTAGAAAATTATATGTACATCAATTTCTAAAAAATCAAATTTAGTAATAGTTTAATCAGTTTCTTTGATTACAAGTGTATACGTTTTGTTATTTTTTAAAATTTATTGTTAATTTTATCAAACTTTCAATAGAAACAATTTTTTAATGTGCAAAGTTAGGAAAATTGTTTTCTAAAATAAGCACCAGTTTTTACTTTTATTGTAATATTTATTTGCAACAGATTCTTTTATTTTATCTACTTAATGCAAGATCTTAAACTTGCTATAATTCAGCTATTTTTTTTTATCAATAAACACAACTCTAACAAAAGGTTGATAAATTCAAGTGTATTCAGCATCACTTAAGAAATTATGCACCATAGATTATACTTATATATTATAAGAATGTGCATGTCAATATACTTGACAATAATCTCGTTCAAGATTATTTTATAGTTTTATTATATTTAGTAGCTCAAGTAACTTTAATAATCTTCTTTTAACAAATAACTACGAAGTTCAAGCAGTTTCCGAAATGTTGATAAGTTAATTGTTTACCGTGAGATTTATTTGTAATAAATCTTTATTAAAGATTTGTGCTAGGTTCGAAAAGATCATTTACAAGATCAATCTAGGCTTAACAAGCTAATATAAAACGATTAATAACGAGGTGAAAAAATTGATTGTTTATTTAACATCTGAGTGTTCAGTGACTATGCAGGATGCAAGCAATTCTAAAACATACATTTACTATGTTATTAGTACAATAATAAATAATCTAATTATATTTCTTTAGCGTGGTGCTTGTCTAATGGTCGATGCCTAACGTCCAATATCTCTATATAACAAGCCCTTAAGGCCCCTCCATGTACATTCGAAAATTAATTTAAAATATTATTTTCTTAGGAATAATCGTAATACTTTTATCACACTGTTTCACCAAGTTATACCGTTTTCTCGGTATTGTAATCCTTATTCGCGGCTATAAACTTTGGAGCAAAGATCACCTATAATTTATATATCTATAGCTATTGGCGGCAAGCACAGACTAAAAAGTTGAAGTGGAGGCGTGTTGCTGTAGTTAACTAAATTTATCTGTAGCAACCGATTACTCTCAACATCCGATAATAGAATAATTTAGTATTATTCGTGTGATTTAATCAATTAGATGAATTATTTATTTGATGTCACGAAATTGAAACAACATCAGTGTAACAGTCGAATCTTTAGTGATTATTTAATTTTGTATAATCAACATACTTATTCAAATATTTGGTAGGTTGATTGCATGTAAAATAAAATTCGTCGGAAAAATACTAGGCACGATTATAAGTGAATGTTTCCTACGTAAAACATGAATGACAAAGAAATAATGGATAATAATTAAATAATTTAGCGTTGATTAGAATACTAATGATATAACATAAGTTATGAATAGGTTATCTACATATATGATACTTGAATAATTTTAATATACATTACATACGCAATTTTTAATTGTAATGTATATTAAAATTTATTCAAATGTAAATTATTGTACAAATGTCATTTATGTAAATAACCTATTCATAACTCATGTTATATATCATTAGTATTGTATATTAGTATTAAGTATAAATAAATCTTTTTTATAAATTGATATAAATGTAGTTCTGAATTGTTCGTTATTTTTATCAAATTATTAAAATTATTTATCATGATAGAGGAAATTGATAGGTAATGTAAAAATTGTAGTTTTCTTGCTGCTCAATTATGTGCTTATTTAATTAATGGCAATAGTAATCACTTTGTTTAAGTGACTCGACGTAATAATTGAAAGTAACTTTAAATTTGATATTAATAAAATATTTTTCGATACTCCGTGCGCAAAATGCGTCGTTCCCGCACACTCGGTAGAAAATGTGCGTTGAAAATCACACTTTCCACACGTCGTATAAAAAAATACGGTACGGCACATGCTCGGGAAAGAGTTTCTTGTCTCGTGTACCTTTCCACCCTCGTCTCGCTCGGGTGTAAACGCCCACGAGACAAGAATCTACTTTCCCGCACTTGTATCGTAATGTACTATATATACATGGTCGTTATACCAATAAACGATGTCATTTTTTTGCAAATAAAAACATATTCATAATGATAACAGCAATTTAATAACTGTTGAGTGTGGAATAAAAATACGTGGAAATATTCTATTTGTTATTTATGTAAAAATCGGAGTTTTCATTTAAAAAATCGTACGAGTTGGTTAGTATTAAAAAAGTATCGATTAAATCACAGAATATGGTAGTTTAAACTTTGAAGTATACGTGAAAAAATCGCGGTAAGTGTCAATGGCTTATTTCCAAGGTAGTGTTAATGCAAAAAAAGCTTCAAATTTAGACTTTTTTAATGACTTTCTAATGAACTAATACAATAACGCGGTAACTGAAAAGATTATCGAATGGGGTTTTTTATGGTTATAATTGTAAGATTAATTTTTTAAAGAGTAAATCATCATTTATGTCCATTGATATTATCAACTGTAATTCCAGATTTAAAAATTAGTTGTTTTTTCGCGTTTTCTTTTTTTTTTATTTTGCGACTACAACCGAGGCAAATGGAATTTTATTGTCAATTGCACCCTCTGCAACATTGTTTCTATACATTTTTCTCATTTGCTGCATGGTTTTCGAGTAAAATAAGAAAACGTGTCGAAAAAAGGTTATTTTTGGCACTTGTTAAACATTTATTGTGAAAAACGCACTGGGAAATTCGAGGTGCAAACTAGGATACGTTAATTACTAAGATATTTCTGAACGATTTCGTAATAAAATTCCTTCCTTAACTCACATTCATCACCAACTACAATTTTGCAGGACTACATTACCACGTGTTGCCTGTATATATGTTACTATATAAAGAACCGGAGCCTGGATGGCTTTAAAGTAGTTTAAATTTTTTTCAAACTAGTCTATTCATTTTTTATTTATTCACGTGTAATTGATCTTATTCTTAAATTGTATTTGAATTATTTTACGCTATAACATATGATTGCACTTCTTTTCTACCGCGAATCACAATGAGAATACCAAGATAGTTGAAATCTTGTGGGACATTATTTAAATTTATAACTTTAATGATGAATGTATATTTTTCTCGTGATTCGAGTTCGTTAATTGTAAATGCTTACTTAGTGCGATGAAAAACAATATCGAGAAAGGAAATCAAACTATTGTAGTGCAAACAAATGTTTCCATGACGCATCCGCACGACGAAAACAATAATAAAAAATATAGATTTACTATATTAATATTTTTACAATAATATATCATTTGATTTTTTTTTTACCATGGTAAATGTCTCGTGGCCAATGTCTGACATTTAATGTTTCCTTTTGTAGAAAGTCGTTTACAAGAGTCACGGAATCGCTACATTACAGTTAACAAAAGTACGTGCATTTTACTGTACCTTTTTCGTGTGGTTTTTGACAATATATAAGAGACAATACATAAGAACTTTACCCATTAACGCGCAAATTCGCATTTTTTTGCACACAATTTCAAGCGCCCGATTCATACAGAAAAAGACGGTTTCTTTTTCCCAAAATACCACCTAGGGGGTTTTCGTGAGTGCTCTTTCAGAATCTGGTACCAGTTTTATGTTAAATTGTCAGCAACCCTATTTATTTTGTGTTTTAATAAAAAAAAAGACCCATTTTTTCCGTTTTTTTTTTTATTTTTTCTCGATCATTTTCCTGTTGCGGCATTCAAATTAATATTCTATCAACAGAAATCGCGGTCCCGATGTTTGAGCTTTCAGAAACCGCCCGGGGAAATTTTTTTTTCTTCTAGAATTTTTACAAAATGGCGGTTTTTTATGGCAGTGATCTATGAAAGTTTATAATTTTTTTACTCCAAAAGTGTCAACTTTACAAAAAAAGTTAGTACTATAAAAAATACTTTTAATTATTCAAAGAATATGTGTGAATTTTTTTAGAGCTGATTTTTTGGATTTTGAAATTTTGGATTTTTTTATTTTGACCATATTTTGAAAAATAAAAAGTTTACGTAAAAATTCTGGAAAAAATCCTATGAGTTTTCTGACTAATTTTAAGCATATTTTGTAGAATAAATTTTTTCTGTTCGGTTAATTTTTTTCAATAAAAAAAATTCTGAAATTTTTTCCATACTTTCATACACGTTGTTCGAAATCACTTTTTTCCAAAATATCTGATGGTTTCATTATATCAGCTTGACAAATGCCAACTGGCTTTTGTTAAAATACATAAATGATGCTTGTAATGTAAAGAAAAATCTCAGTAAGTCATTCATATTATTAGGCCTTTTTTGGAGTAGATTGCGGAGAGGTAAATACATTGATGGATTATAACTAATATTATCGGACTGAAAAGAATTGTCCAATATTTTACTTTTTAGTTTTTGATTAATTTGAAAGGTATAGCTGAAGAAAATTACAATGTTTAAAAGGAAAAGTGGTAATGTAAAAAAAAGACGTCGCTAACCTGAAATACAGGTTACAGAATGTGATGAATATTACGATGTTTCTGTAATACTAGACACCGAAGAATCTGGAGATTCTGACGATTCTGCTGAGTCGCATAGCGATTCTGGAGGTAATGATGAAAGCGATTCTGCGGAAACAATAGAGCTTGGCTCTTTGGAAACTTTTAGAACAGTTATAGAATCCTACATTAATTCTCAAACAAAGTTAGAGAAAAATCACATCTATGACTGGGTTGAAGGTGAAATTGAGTACAATGAAAGTTTAGAAAATGAAATATTATTAAAAGAGTGTGATCGCAAAAAAATTTTGAATAGTTCATTGATAGAAATTTTTGAGTTTTTTTTTCACTTGAAATTAAAAAACATATCATTGATTGTACAAAAGCAAATGGCTATGAACTTTCTTTGGAAGACTTGGATAAATTTATTGGAATCATAATTTTCAGTTGCTTCGATAAGAAATTATATCAAAGAGATTATTGGTCAAAACATGAGTTTTTGAGATCAGATATAGTGGCATCATGTATGGGCATCAAACAGTTTGAAATGATCAAATCTAAATAAAAACTCCATCATCCCGATGATGAAAATAAAGAAGACAAAGTTTGGCGGGTAAGAGATTTTATAAATATTATGAGGGAAAATATTATGCAATTTGGGGTTTTCTTTATAGCGTTATCAGTAGATGAAATGATGATAAAATATTATGGGCGATGTTCTTTGAAACAATTCATCAAATCAAAACTAATTAGATTTGGAATAAAAATGTGGGGTCTTGCTAGCGCTAACGGATTTTTATTCGATTTTGATATATACTGTGGAAAAATGGTAAAAGCAATATTTTACCTAAAATTTCTCTTGGTAGTCGTGTCGTAATTCAAACATTGGAATAGTTTTTGTCTTGAACTACACCACGTAATATGCAAAAATACCATTTATATTTTGACAACTTATTTTGTTCTGCAGATCTTTTGGTTCATTTAAGAAAACTAAGATTGCGATGTACTGGAACAGTTAGACAGGACAAAGTACCTGTAAAGCACAACATAGATAAAAAGAAAGATGAACGTGGAAATTCTGAAGTAAAGCACGATAAGAACAGCGGTATCAATTATATCACAGTGATGGATTCTAAGCCAGTCTCAGTATTGTCTACTGCAGCTGGTGTAAATCCCACTGGTTCTATTGAAAGATACAATAAAACTGAGAAAATAAAAAAAAACTTGAATCACCAAGAGCGTTTTGTGCATACAATAGTTATATCGGTGGAATAGATATTCACGACCAACATTGTAATAAAGTTCTACCTCTTTTCAGATCAAAAAAGTGGACTTGGGTAATTTTTCTTAGATGCATCCAAATGTCAATTACAAATGCTACAGTTTTATTGAATACTGCAATTGAAAATAAAAGTAAAAAAATTGGAACAAAGGATCTTATTTTAGCTGCTGCTAAGAGTTATCTGAAGGAAAAATCTTCAAAAAAAATATTCACATTGCAGAACAATGTCCCCATCAAAAGAATTGCTCTAATCAAAGTTGCTCTCTAAGGACCAGAAAGATTTGCAAAGAGTGCAAATTATATTTGTGCCAAAATTGTTTTGAATCTGTTCATATAAAAAAGTAATACATATAGTACTATTGCAAAAATATCTACAATTACAAAAAAAAAAAGAAAATTGAAATATAAAATTTTAAAAAAATTAAAAAATATTTTAAAAAATAATAATAAAAAATATTTAAAATTACAGTTTTAATCATAAAAACTTTTATTATGATTATGAAAGAACGAGAAAACATTATTTTTCTCAGTTCTTTCTCATAAGTTAATTCGCTGGGATTTTTTCAGAAATTTTACGTAAATTTTTTATTTTTCAAAATATAATCAAAATAAAAAAAACCAAAATTAGTTTAATCAGCTCTGAAAAAATTCACATGTATTCTTTGAATAATTTGAAGTATTTTTTATAGTACTAACTTTTTTTGTAAAGTTGATACCTTTGGAGTAAAAAAAATATAAACTTTCATAGAGCACTGCCATAAAAACCGCCATTTTGTAAAAATGCTGGAAAAAAAATTTTCCCGGGCGGTTTCTGAAAGCTAAAACATCGGGACCGCGATTTCTGTTGATAGAGTATTGATTTGAATGCCGCAACAGGAAAATAATCGAGAAAAAATTTAAAAAAAACTGGAAAAAGTGGGTCTTTTTTTTATTAAAACGCAAAATAAATAGGGCTGTTGACAATTTAACATAAAACTGGTATCAGATTCTAAAAGAGCACCCTCGAAAACCCCCTAGGTGGTATTTTGGGAAAAAGAAATCGTCTTTTTCTGTATGAGTCGGGCGCTTGAAATTGTGTGCACAAAAATGCGATTTTGCGCGTTAATGGGTTAAACTATAGTAGTTTAAGTTTTATTTAAGCTAAATTTATGTTTATTTACTTATTTTAATTTAGTTTATTATTTAATACAACCAATGCAATTATAATTTGATTTCAATTAATTTTTTTGAATAAGCTCGAATCACAGCTGGCGATATTCAAAAGTCACTATATTATATTATGGTGCAAGAATGGCGCATGGCTTATTTGTGATATATATAGGTTTGTGCTTTGATTAGTATCGCGTGGTGCAATCTGGTCTCGTGAACATAACCTTGTCCCTTTGCATCAATACGTAAATAGTTTTAACGAATTTGAAAATGTAAAGTTTATATTTATAAAATGACACGTTTATTCGATAATATCAAATTATTTAATCTACTCAAGGTACCAGTAAGATTTAAACACCCTCCTCACCATTGGGTAATTTTATTTCATAATTTAAATTATTATGCTCCGTCTATGTATACTCAGGTTTATTTTATCAAAAGGAAATTATTTTATATGTTTAGTCAGTTTTACAAAAAAAAAAATCACATAGTCAAAGAGCACTTGACCACTTCGATGACTTCTACAAGAATGTTTATGGCCAATCCTGGTCAAATATTAGATCTGCATTGCTTGCTAAAAATCACAAGTACATTGCTGTTGTCAATAATTTTAGTGATACTACACGAATATGTCAGGATTTAGAGGTAATACTATTGTACATTGACTTTGATCCATAAAAAAGCATATAAAAAATTAAGTAATTTTATCTTGTAGACATTGGGTGCAATGAATATGAAATTGATATATGATGCATCTAAGAAGAATCAAGCAATACAACAAGAATTAAAAAAAAAAAAGAAAGTATTGAAAGAGATCAAAAGAATAGATCAACAACTGGATCATATTGTATCTGAAACCAAATCAAAGTATTCTATATATCCCAAATCTTATGAAATTGATGCTCAAGTTGTTGAGAAAACTACATTTGATGATAATAAGTCATTCAAACCTGTAAAGTTACAATCGATTGAAACAGATCTAAATATAGTCAATGATTCTAGTCGTATTATAATGCCTTCTTCTGGTATAACTGCTGAGCAGTTGTATGAATACATACCTGCAACTGAAATCAAAGGTTAGTAAACATTACAAGCTTCTTTTATAGTTGAACCTATTGTAAAATGTTTATATCGTTTTCTTTCTAAGGCATGGATGATTTTATTCTGGAGTCAGAGCATTATGGTCACTACAGCAAAGGAGCTGACTTTGTTATTCAGATAGAGGAAGACCATACATTAAATTTTCCTGATCAACTTTTAATATATACATTTGAAGAAAGTAATGATATGATTTTTCCAAAATCCAAAACTGGTACTACTAAAGTTTCAGGTATTGATATACACTAGTTTATTTGATGTTTTATAAAAAAAGCTGTGTAAATACTGAATTTGAATAATTTTATATTTCAAATAATATTTGTCATATTATTCAGATTATTTTATTTTGGATGGTGCATCAATACTCCCAGTTTTGTCATTAGATTTGAAACCAGGTGACAGACTATTGGATATGTGTGCTGCGCCTGGTGGAAAACTGATGATTGCCTTACAGTCTTTGATACCGGAGATTATTGTAGCTAATGACGTCCAGCAATCGCGAATCAATAGGATAAATTATTTTATTAATGAATTTCTCGGAACAATGAATTTCTGGGACAAAAGGTTTTTAATAACGCAAAATGATGGCAGGTATATCGAAGACAAAGATATTTACAACAAGGTATTCGTTTTATAATGTAATTTTTCCTCATCAACCAGCATTAATATATTTTTTTTATTCCAGATCCTTGTCGATGTACCTTGTACAACAGACAGACATGTTCTCCATGAGGATGACAATAATCTCTTCAAAGCATCAAGGATCAAAGAAAGATTGAAATTACCAGAATTGCAGACTGAACTTTTAAAGTACGTAGTGTAAAGATTATAAGTTTAAATAAAAATTAAATGTTACTTATGATGAATATTTTTTTCAGAAACGCTTTAAAACTTGTAAAGGTCGGCGGAACTGTAGTTTATTCTACGTGTACATTGAGTCCTATTCAAAACGACGGTATAGTTCGAATGGCTCTTAAAAAGTCGTTTGAAGAATCGCAGGTAGTTCATGTTGTCAAGTAAGTTAATATGCAATCTTTACTTATTGCTATTGTGAATAAATATATACAATCTTTACTTATTGCTATTGTAAATATACTATATTGTTCTTTGCAGAGATCAAACCCGTGCATTAGATCCACTTCGGTATTTATATAATTTTGGAAATTACGGCCTTAAATATGGCCATATTGTTATACCATCCAAGAGTAGAAACTTTGGTCCCATGTACTTTTGCAAAATCATAAGAGTAAAATAAAGGAAGTAAGTAACATAATCAATAATTTTATTATCTTCTTTCAACTTTTATATAATACATATTTGTCAATAATTGTTCCATTGTTGTCATTTAGAATACAATTTCATAAAATGTTATCTTTAGAAGAGTGAAAAAATATTGAAATTATCCAGTAAAATTATGCACTTCATAGACTTTTTAACTTGCATACATTCTTATACACTATTTATAAATAATTACAAATCTTAAACTTGAACGCTATTTTTTTCACAAAACAATTATTGAACACAAATGTTCCATAACACACATACATCAGCTATATAAATATAAAATGTAATAAATACAATCTGTTTGTACTGTTGGTCAAAGCTTTATATATATATATATATATATATATATATATATATATATGTGTGTGTGTGTGTGTGTGTGTGTATGTATGTATATATATATATGTGTGTGTGTGTACGATTAGAAATTATGAGATGAGACACAGAGAACGAAATGACGACACTATTATTAGCTTCTCTCTCTCTTTCTTTCCCTGTTTTTATAAAATACTATAATCCGTAAAAATGTTATTTATAATGCAAATTTTAATGAGGATTTGCATAGTCACATATTATACATTTACTTAATTGGGTGCCTCGTCTCTTTCAGAGGAACTGTCTGTTCTGTATTGTGTATATTGTGGGAGTTGAGTTTATTCCACGGTTGTTCCTCACCAGTGCCGAACATGGTATAGATCAACATCTCTATTATGTATAATCCAACCATTAAGAAGAATATCACTCGCCAACTTTCCGTTGTGGCCTATAAATATTAATGCTTGATAGAGTATGTAAACATAAATTTTATTATACCTTTGAAATGCTGTCATTGAAATAATAACTAACACACAAACTCGTGAAAAATTAATTATATGACTAAGCTTTGTCGAGAAAACTTTTATCCGAGTCACGTTACTCTAGCTACATTAAACTATGATACTATAGACTCGTAACAAAGCTTTCACTCGTTTACTGAAGAAATAACCGTTGAATATTAAGACTATTAACTGAGAAACGGAGCAAAATAATTAAGCACAAGTTGTTTAACTTAGTGAAAACAATTCTATAAAGAAATAAAAATGATTTTGTTGTAATTTTTTAACATTATTTTTTCAAAATATTTGTTAATAATATAAGAAAAGAAAAAAATTAATGTTTATTATTGATCGAGACTTACGCATTCCTTAACGAAATAGCCAACGAAGATAGGCACGACAAAACCAGGTATCGTGGCAACGGTATTGGTAAGGGCGACAAGGGTGCCCGCGTAGTTGGGTGCAATGTCAATGTGATTGGCCAGGAATCCGCAATACATTCCGCCGATACATGTGATTGCTATCGTCATTAGCGCGACCACTGTGTTCTTGTCGCTGGCGTACGACACGCCAAGCAGGCAGAACATTGGCACTGCCGACGCTAGAATTTCCGAACAACCACGTGATCGCGTATACCATAGAGCCACGCCAAGTCTATTGATTCAACGTTTACTTACAGAATAGTGTTCCTATTTTCCTTGATACCGTCACGGAGATCCAGTTTTTGTCTTGCATTATCACAAGAAGTTTGCTAAGGCCTAACGTGAATATCCACATACAGAAATATGGCAATGCCGATAGCCAAGCGTTCTGTTGAGGGAACAAACGACAGTTCATTATAAGACAGCTCTTTTAAAATTTTGTCACTTTAACAAACTTACCGATTTTAAATCATAATGTAATATTTTAGACATGAATATCGGGAGCTCGATGAGCAGCATATACCAGCCGAAGTTATTGCAAAAGTGTGCAACCAGTATGGCCCAGAAGGGTGCTGATCTCATTATTTGAAACCACGGCACTGACGATAATTTCTGCGAATGGAAGCACCACGTCAATTCCAACATTAATGGAAAGTACGCCGGCAGCAAATAAATAAATAAATAAATAAATAAATAAATAAAAATAAAAGTAAGAATGCATCAGGAATGAAAAGAAAACAAAGCTCCTGTAATCATGTTTCAATGGCAATGATTTGATGAATTATTACAAGTACGCGGCGACGGCGATGGTTCGAGCACAAAGTATTGACGTATATGGCGTGTGTATAAGTGGCCCGCGCAGTGCAAGTCACCGAGCTGCGAATCTATAGCCCCTTGTGCGCGAGCGATAAACTTGAGGAGCCAAAGCGCGTAAATGTTGCGTTTGCGCGGCAATATTGCAGTGGCACGTCGGGAAAGAAGCATGATAAAGGCGAGTGTGATTTGTAAATCAACCGTGCGCCGACTGATCGACTTGGCATCGATCGACTTGAACAACGGGCTGATCGAGAAGGGAAGAGGGCGCGATCAAACCAGTACCTGTTTGTGCGTCTCCTTTGGTTCACCCTGCGAGTTAAGTATGAATTGGCGCTCCTCGTCGGTGATGATGATTTTCTGCTGCTCGGGCGAGTCTTGCACGAGGATAAGCCAGGCAGTGCACCAGATCAGACAGAGCAGACCCTCGATGTAGAAAACCCACTTCCAGCCGAGGTTGGCGGCGATCATGCCGGACAGCAAAATTGAGATGACGGTGCCGAGGGCAGTGCCTGCAATAACGGCAAATATCACTGAGTGCACTACTCGCGCTCCTTGGAAAAATATTTAATTAAACGCTTCGCGCGCGCGCGCTCGTGTATATATACATATATACAGAATAATAGGAGCGTAGCATGTGGGCCGCGCATGGCTACTTCCTTCTTTTTCTGTTACTACCAAGCTGGATCAAGAGAAAACTCGTGCGCGCGCGCGCGTACTTTTTCTCTTGGCACTTTTGAGGAGACCTTGGTAAGTTTTAACGGGATGTAGCTCTTCGGGTGTTATTCTTTTTATCCACGACTTCTCCTTTGTCGCGTTTGACTTTGAGAAAGTATCTTTTTACGCGCCGAGTTTCCATATCGATTCTGACCAATCTTTTGAGATTGTCCGCGAGACATTCGCCAACGGGCGCATGCTCTTATCCTGCCGGTGATTAATAAGACGAATCATTGCAAATTTGCAGTGGGTGCAAGTTTCAAATCTTTTGTCTCGCTCGAGTGATCTATGACGCGTTACTACCGTGCAAACTATTTGTATAGAGACCACTTGGAGCAGGTCCATTTGAAGTGGTTGACGTGTATTCAAGTTTGTCGAGAGTAGAAACACGCGAAGAATGTTGCAACTCGTCGAACTTGCAGGTGGAACGCAAAAATCCCAGACCGCGAACAGTTAACAATCGACGTAGTTATGTTGCGCGCTCGAGCTTCATTCCGTCAGTTAAGCGTGTTTTCCAACGCGACGACAGAAAAGAAAAAAAGTTAATTTTCTCTCATTAGCTCGAAGGTAGCCTTTGCTCGTAAAACTAGGCGCCACGATACTCGCAAACTCATTCGGACGCGGCAATGCCATCGCCTCTCGTTCCTCTGTATCAACATTCAAAAATAACGCAAAAGCTTGAGTTTTGCGCGCGTGGATATATCCGTCGCGTCGATGATTCATCCGCGAGGCGCATGATCGCGTTAAATTTTCTAATAAGAAAATTTATGAGATTCCAATGGCAGTTGCGAAGTGTCTCGAGCGCGAAGCGGCGCCGTATGGATGCTCGACGCATCGCACGGACTTGCTATGCATGCATATACGTACCAGCGTAGGCGATGGAAGCGAGAATGCTGCGCTCGTTCGGCGGAGCCCATTTCGAGACCATCACGTGAATGGCGGGAAAGCTGACGCCCTGGAAAAACGTCGTAGCTTGGAACGTTGTTTTTTTTACGGTACATGTGCTCTCGAATCTTCTCTTTCTCTTTTCCTCTACTTTACTGCCTTTTATTTTTCGCTCCGACCACTTCTCTGCAACTCTCGTTGCTGTCTGTCTGTGTGTCTGCCAGGCTGTCACGCGTGGCGACGTCTATTTCAGTTTTTATTTGCACGAATATTCCTTGTCTTTCCGTCATTTTAATCGGTCGATTGAGATAAGACAGGGGATTGTCGGATAAATCAAGTTTCCATTTGAATGTAAATTGTTTAATGTAATTCATCTAAACAACTCGTTAAGTTTTATTGCGCTAATTCTTGCTTACTGGTGGGCGAACGAGTGAAAAGCAAAAATTGGACTCTTTATACTATTGCCTGCTTTTAAAATAGCCTTGTTAAGATTCACGGTGATATTATTGTGATTCATTGAATACAATTAAAGCATTGTAATTTGTAAAATATAACGATATTCAGTTACGAATTAGTTTCGTAAAATAATATTGATAATTCAATTAACATTGTTGTCTATGTGTAATGAAATTATGATTCGAATTTCAATTCGAACATGTATTCAATAACCAGTATAACATATTAATATATTCAAGCAAAGTAAGTCATTGAGATAGAAAAACATGCATTTCATTTTATCGTGGAGTAGCATGTCGACGCTACATTACACGCTGTTTTATATAGCCCGCGAGAATTCATACGATTTTCAATCAACAAGACTATGACACTAATTTATGCGCATTATTTAAATAGATTATCATCACTCGCTCCCTTTTTACATTCAAGCATAATACGATATTAGCATTTTTAACAGGCCAACATGACGGAGCGAGTGCAGCTTTCTCTCCAGCCTTGATTTCAATAATAACATGTCGTTGTCGGTGACCCAGACAGATAACTATTTGGCTGAACGAGAGAAGAAAAAGCGTTTTCGACAAACGTAAAAATAACTGGCAAGGCTTGCTTTTTTCACTTGCTCCAGCGCCAGACCAATCCATCAGAGCTTGCCTTCGGCCACGTTGAGACGCGGAACGTCGACTGCTACTCGACGTTTAATCGACATTTAATGTCGACAGTTAATCGACATTCCCGAACTTTCTGCTGGGCGAGATGTCGTTAATTTGAACTTGAAATTCAAATCCGCGCGCAATAAACGCAGTAAAGCGACCGAGGAGAGAGGCCGGTTGCCGCGAAATTAAATGATACTCACGCCACCGATGCCCTGGATAATCCTCATGGCGATGAAGGCGGTGTAATGGATCTCAGCGGCGGTGGGCATCAGCATTGAGGCCAAGACGTTAAGGAGTACCGAAATGTTGAGCACCCACTTGGCAGACACGTACTCGGCCATCATGCCCCCCGGTATCAGCGATACGATGTATCCAATGAAGTACGACGAAAGGATGAATCCCTCGATGTCCTTTGTCCACACGAATGGGCCGTCTTGGTCGTAATTGCGCTCTAGCGTTGCGTTGCACTCTTTCTCCATCGACGACGTCATCATCGTCGCCATCGTCGTGCCGTTCGGGAACAACTACATGGCAAATCCAAACTATCACTCGTCTCTTTCCTTGTCGCTTTCGCTTCTCGTGCCGAGATTGGCGTCGATTCGCTCCCAAGAAAAAAAAAAAACAAGCTACCCCGATTGCCACAGAAACTGATCGCCGTACTATCGTGCTTCTAATTCCAAAACAGTACAAAGTGCCTTATTGCATGTATGTAATGGGTGTGGCGGACGAGACGGCGACAAAGCAGCGGTCGCAAGCGCAAGAGCGAGGATGCGTGACAAGGCGAAAAATCTAGAGCAAAAGTTACTCACACTGTGAAATCGGAATAAGGGATGAGGCGCAACGTACTCCTGCGCGAGCCAAATCACAACAAACAGAGCTTTCGTCAGATATCAATTGATGCGTATCGCAGGCCACAGATAAAATAGTTGCGGAGGCGAGGCGAGAGAGAGAGAGAGAGAGAGAGACAGAGAGAGAGAGAAAGCAACGCGCGCCACTTACATAACGCCACAGCGCCTTTAACGCCCGCGACCTTGCGTCCCGCGCAACAATGCCGAATCTCTCGTTTTCTCTCAATGAAATTTATGATCCCTGACATCTCTCCTCTTATAATCCACCCACGCCCACGTTATTAGGATACGTACAACGCGCGCGCGCTATCTCTTTGTTTTTCCCCGCCATATCAACCCCCCTCTCCAACCCTCCCGCTCTCACGTTTTATTGCCGGCAGTTAGGAGAGACAAAAAACTTTGACCAAATCTTTTTTTAAAATTAAAGATGTATACGGGTACATACCGTGACGTTGTGCTGTACTCTTGCTGTGGTGTTTGCTTGCATGGCGACGGCAGTGTGGTTGACCATTGCCACAATGGCTATACTTAGGTTGACTTTGAATCCGTAGATTATGGCCATGCCGATGGAGCCCATTATCGACATCAAATACCGCATCGGTATCATCCTGAAACCTTCAATTGCATTTGGGTCAATGAATATATTCAGTTTAAAAATCACGTGTATGACTCGCGTCTGCTTTTGTTCGCGCCCCGTTATTTTCTTTCTCGAATCCTTTTCATTTCCGCTCGCGGGATTTCAGCACAGTTTCCGCGCCAACGAGATACATATATGTATTCGTATTGCGTTCTGGCACACGTGACATTATACGGCCAAGTTTTTGTTAAAATTAAATTGTGTTCGAGGGCAACCCGGTTGAATGGTTTTTTGCGTTGACTTTTTTTCCAGGGTAACTTGATTTTACTCGTTTTTCTCTTCCAAACTTCATTACACACTTTGCTTTTACGCTGCTGCGGGTGGACGGATTTATTGAGATTGCAGTTGCGTAGATCGCAGCGCTAAATTACAATATTAATTTCCGCGATCTCTTCACGAGAATCCTAAAAATAGCACCACCCGCTGTAACCTTTTAAATTGACTTTCGAAAAAAATATTTCAAACGAAATACGTCCGTCAAACTTCTCAATCTCGTATAAGTGTTCCATTACAGACGGAAGGATGGAGAAGCACTAAGTTTTAATATTGCAGGCGCATCAGCGTCGTAGAAAAGCAGCGAAAAAAGAGACGATTGCTATCGGAAAATGAGCACGGGATAGGTTCCTAGCATAAACAGAATGCCGGTAAGTCGGCAGCGAGGCGACACAATACGAAACGTCCTTGGTTGGCGGCCACTTGCCAGAGCTCCGTGGTGACCGATTCGAATATCGAAACAACGCCGTTGAAAAGAGCCAACAGGTCTTGAGCGCGTGCCAATGCGCACGCGAGGTGGGTCTTTGACATTGCACCTCCGTCACCCGCGCTCCGAAAATAAAAAGCCTCTCGCATTAGCTCACGTGACATTATTTCGAGAGCGGATAAGTGGAGCGGCCACCCTTACGAACTCGCGTATACACAGAAAAGCTCTCGCGACACACTGCAGGCGCACATGGTTATTCTTGCATATCCGCGCGCGCGGCGCTCTATCGATTGCCACCACGACGCTTTTAGCACTTTTCAGCGTGTATACGTGCGCGCTACACGTCGGAAGCGAGCACGCGCGCGCGCGAGCTTTCCAGATAAGCTCCCGAATTGGCGCGCGCGAGCAAAGTTGCTCTCTTCCCGAGCGAGGGCTGAACTCGCTGCCGGAAATCGCGCGCTGATTGCCGTGATTTCCGCGCGTCCCAGATTAACTGCCGACGACGACGCTGATCCACGCCACACATAATTGTTTACCAGCCCACCCCACGTGCGTTTTACTCTCTCTCTCTCTCTCACTCTCGGCTCTCTCCTCGCAAAGGGTACGATCGATCCATCACCCGGCGGCACGGCACAGTCATACACAGTCATTAGCTGCTAATCCATACATTTCCTTTCGTGCAGCATAAAAATGCAAGCAACGAGTAGCGGATATTTCCTCTTTTCTCTCTTTCTTTTTCCCTTCACGGTTTCAATTTGTTTTTCCTTCCGCGCGGTGTAACTTTGATTGGAGTTTATCGCGGCTACGTCGGCTGTATACGCGCGCTGTTTGCGCGCAATCGTCAAACTGTTCCTTTGAGAATCGACGTCAAATAAAATGCAGAGAAGAAGAAGAAAAGCGACGGCCGAAATTTGTAGCATCGGCTCTAGTTTGTGGCAAATAAAACTTGGGGCTATAAACTGGCGAGCGCGCGAGCCTTTCGAGTTCGCTGCGTCTGCGTCGGGGGATGTTTCGTCGACGAGGCTTCGCCGGAAAATTGCGTGCTCGACGATCAACATTTCGCGAGCGACGAACGAACGAGCGCGTAACGATTCGTGTCTGCTCCCCGCCAAGACGAGGCAAAGTGCAGGCGATGCAAATGCCAATTGTAACGTTTCCTAGGATCTTTCTTTTCGATTGTTTGCGAGATAGCGTCGACGGCGACGAATTTCGAATCAAGTTGGAACTTGAGAAAAAGCATAGCATGGCGCGACGAGTAGCCTCTTTTAATGATTCGGCAAGTCTATATCGCGGAGTAATTTCTCACGAATTCTCATGAACAGACACGCATAGTCTCGGTGCAGTAACGAACGTTTGTTTTTATTGAATACCAGTGAATTCGCTGCACAGAGGCATTTTGCCACGCTAACCCGGCGAGTACGTGCGTGAGAGCGCGTACGAAGAGGCGCTTATGTACCTGCATCGTGCTCGAGTCAATGAATGTTTGATGGTGATAGCGTGCAGAAACGAGGGAGAGGAGGGAGGTAAGAACAAGATTAGAAGAAGGGAGAGGAAGAAAGAAAGGAGGCGCAGTCATCGAATGAAAAATGAAGATGCGAAGGGCTCGATCGATAGGGATGCTGAGTAGATACTGTATGTATACGTGCGTATATACATGTGGATATGGTGGCTGCGCAAGAGAGGAAAAGCGACTGAAGGTGACCTTTAACTCTCGCCGGCGACTGGGAAATGAATATTCGCGAGGCGCGCGAGCACGTGACTCACCTCGAACTTCGTCCGCGGCAGCTGTAGCCATCCTCTCGTCTTGAACGCTTGCGGAGCTTGCGGCTCGACTGCTCGGCTCTATCTAAAACTACTCGCATTGGCTGGACGCTTCGCCGACGACTGACTCTCGGCGCGTAGCGTCGCGCGTTTTGCCTCCCCCATGAGCTTACCCCCACCGCTTCGTTCGCTCTCTCTCTCTCTCTCTCTCTCTCTCTCTCTCTCTCTCTCTTTCTGTGCTTTCCGAAGCGCGCGCTCCGACCGAGGGAGCAAACGAGAGAGAGAGAGAGAGAGGGAAAGCTGACGTACCTGTTGTGCGTGGCAACGCCATCGATCGCGACCACTCTCTCTCTCTCTCTCTCTTTCTCTCTCTCTCTAGTCGCGTTGGCTACTGCTATTGCATGGGGTGGCTTTTCTTATGGGCTTTGCGCACGTGCGAACCAACTGCACATGCGTCAAGTTCCGCGCGAGAGCTTGCGCTTCGCTACACCCCTTCCTTCCTCGATCGCCGCTGCCGCCGCTGATAAATCATCGACGCTCGGTCAAGCCGGCTCCGATTCACGGCTTTCGGAAATGTGCGTTCGTCGCTTTAGCTGTCGAGGCTCGATTCTCCTACGAGCCTCTATTCATTTCGCCGGGAACTCGCGTCGTTGATCATCCCCCAGTGAAGCGGCTGCCGGATATAGCTTTCCTCGCTGTTTCGTTCGTCGAGAGGCTGCAATTTGATTTTTGCGTGCGGCGCGCTGCCGAATCATCGCGCTAACGAATTGCATCGAATTGAGCTGCCACGTCGATTATCTCGCTCAAGGCACGGCCGGTAATTTCGAACGATTTTCTACAAAAAGAAATTAAGGCAAAGTACGGTACTCTCAAGGCTGCCTTCCTGCAATATTGATTAAACGTGAATGCGAGTCGGCAAGCATTCTTCGACTAACGAAATAAAGATAAGCAGCGCGCACGATGCACACGCGGGTGACGCCTATTTTTAATGGGAAACAACGAATAGAGCCAGCGGCGGTGCGCGTTCGCGGAAGGACTCGCCGCCGCGACGATCAAGCGGCCGGCGTCGAAATTCATAGGAAGCGTACGTGAGAAACAGCACGATAGTCTCCCTCTGCGGACTGTTCTGCGTTTTAATTGCATCTCTCTCTCCCTCTACCTCTCCCTCTCTGTCGATGCACAGCGCGCCGTTTGTAACAACCGAAAGAAGAAATCGTTCTCTCGCTCTGTATCGCGAGCGTGTAAAATTGAATTATTCAACCGAAGGTCCCGCTGGCCGCGTGCAGTATCGCTTGATACAATCGATATGGTGTGTGTGCGCGTATATCAGAGAGCTTGCGATGGCGATCGACGCGACGCGATTTAACCCGCGTGTCTCGAGACGACGCGCAAAACGATCTGTAGGGCTAGTGGTGGGGGGAGTGGGGGGTTTTATTTTAGGGTTGCCGCGTGGATTTTCAAGGGAAATGATCGATCGATGTTGCATGAGTTTAGGCTGTAACGATTGATGCAATAGCGACCTGCACTTTACTCTCTTACACGCTCGTGTGCTCGCTTTACGTATACGGGCTTCAATCTGATGAAATTCCAGCAACTTTTGGGTTTATTTTGGATTTTGGTGAAACTTGATTGTTTCCAATTTACGCTTATCGAACGAAGACTTTTTTTTTAATTTTTTACTCACGATTATTTTCGTCATTCTGAAAGAAATATTTACGTTTTCTTTTCAACATTTGCAGAGAAGAACGCTGTCGAAACTTTCTTCTTGTCGAAGGAAAATTGATCTGACAGCTCGCATTACGAGATTTCACACAATCCTCAAATGTTTTACGATAGCTGAGAGCACATCCTTGAAAGATTGCGTAAGCCAATTTTCTAACGTCGTTCGTTTGAATTTCGTATAATACTATATCAGCTGGCGCAACTATATGGGCGTTAAAATAGAAAAGCTAATTTTGCGTCGTTGTTTATGCAGCTTCTGGTCTCTTTCATTATCGAAACTTTACTCAATTATTGACTATTGATTTTGAAGCGAAAATGCCGGACTTTTAAAAAATCCTAAGACATCAATACTATTTTGAAATTTTCAATCGTAATTTCGAATTATTTCATCGAAAATGAATTCATGCCAGCATTATTCACTTATTTGCAAAGCAGTTTTTTTGTAAACACACGTGAATGTATACATGTATAAAATAAATTGACAGTGAGCGTCGGAGGTTATGCATGACGTAAAATATAAAATTAAATTCGATCGATATTTTTTTTCGCACATGCGATTCCAAACATTCTTTAAATCGTACGGATGTACCCTCTAAAGACGACTTGCAAGTGATTGTGTATTAACATACTATGAGTCTCAGTACAGGAATAGACGATGATCATGTGGGAGATCTTTATGCATGGCTTGATGAAATTCCACTGTCACGTCCCAAACGAAACGTGGCGAGAGATTTTTCTGATGGAGGTTTGTAGTTATAGTCAGATTTTGAAAAAAAAACTTCATGTTTTTTACATTTAGTTTTGATGGCTGAGTTATTGAAACGATATTATCCGAGGTATGTCGACGTTAAGAATTACATTGCTGCAAGCAGCATGGCTAGAAAAGTTGACAACTGGAGCACATTGAATCGCAAAGTGTTTCCGAAAATTCATTTAAAACTTAGCAAAGAAACTATAAATAGATTAGCTCAGTCGCATCCCGGTATAATAGAGAAACTTTTACTCGAAGTTAGGTCTAAAATTGTTAAGGATTGTAACGCGGACCGAGATTCTCTGTTTAAAGGAATTGATGATCCTGAAAGTCGTGGTGAGCTGTCATAAATTATTTTCAATAAACCTCTAAATTACAATTTTCTTTTTTTATTAACATATAGAAACTATAAAGTCTATTACAAGTCCTGAAGAATCATTGAATCAAACCATACCTCGCAAAGTTTTTATAAAGGTGAAAAAAGACTTAGAAGAGAAAACAGAAACTATTCACATACTGATAAAGAAAATTGAGCATTTAGAAACTATGATAAGATTCAAAGATCAAAGAATTGAAGATTTAATGACTCAAATTCAATCTTACATTGAGAAACCTTGATGTTTATACAAAAACGTGGTTGGAAATATAAAATTGTCTTATTAAATAATGTAACAGTAATTGTAAATAAAATAATTTTTATTACTATGATTCATAGTCCATACTTTCTTATATGAAAATGTTATTTTGTATGAAAAAAATGTAGTTTAAATTATGGTGGACAACATTCAAATTAAGTCTTATATCACATTTTAAACTTAATTGTGAATGCTATAATCAGATGTCTATAATGCTGCCCTCATACTTGGTGGTGACACAAGTATTACTCCGTCACCCCTTACAAACAACATTGGAATAGTTCTCTTTGTTGTACGATAGACTTCTTCATAAGTTTCTTCATCAATTTCAATGGTAGTGACAGTCTCTTCGACATCTCCAAGAACCATATTCAAATGTTGATCGTATGCCTGCAAATATACATTTTACTTAGTATAGATGCATAAAACACGAACGACAGCGAACATCTTACGTGTAATCGACCTCTGAGCTCTCTTTCGTTTCTCATTTTGACGTATATTCTCTCGTCCAAGCTCAATCGGATCAAATCCAACGGCTCTTTAACATTGATTGCCGGTACCTAGCAAAGATGTAGGTTAGAATTTATAAAATAAAAGAAATTTTTCAAATATATATTTTACCTGTTCAGCGTCGTCTACCATGTTGATGTATATGACTAACTATTAATTGAATAATATAGCTTAAACTACTTTTAATAGTATTCAATATACTAATTTAACAAATTAAAAATCAATTAAATTGTTACGTTGAACATCACTAGTATCTGATCACTATCTGAATTTGTTTTCATCGGAAACTTGAAGAAATTTGCAACTAGGTGGCGCAAGTGAATAATAAATGGTTAAAGAGCGGCCATTTCAAATAAAACTAAGACTAATTAAAAACTTTTTTTCTATTACGCAATATATAAAAGTTCAAAAGAATTAAAAAATTGATAGATAAGCAAAATGTTCAAGTCAAAGATTTAAAGTAGGCAACTTACCTTTGATAGTTATGCGATTAAATTTTTAGAAGATTATTTTTCAAAAGCTTTACTATTAAATTGTTTATTATGATAATCAAAAACAAACCAGTAAATCCATTGCATATAACTTTCATGCTGGCAAGAAAAACTTATAGAATATTATTAGTTGCTTTTAGCGTGTTCTTATTACAACATAAGTGTTACAGAAACGTCGTGTTAATAATCAGTACTATAAGGAATTAATTCTAGTTCAAAAGTGATCCTTCCATTTCTGGGATTTGGACGAATAGTAAATTGCAAAGTAATAAATGTGAAATCCGGCCTTTCCGTCACGAGAATCACATAACAATCTTGTTCTGCATATATATTTCATACGTTCGTGTTATTTTCCATTTTTCATACGTACACAATAGAAAGTTTAGATTCTTGATCATCAACTTATGTTATGAGTTATTAGAATACCCTCATCTTTGCCGGAAAACGTTGAAATACAAAATTTTTTAATTATGAAACAGTTTCGTGTAAATAGGATCTGAATCAGTTACTTCTTGTTAAAATAAAAAAACTGAAATAATACATATCCATTACCTACTTTTATACCCGTTCGAATTAACTAATAGGTTTGTTGATTCTAGTGAATTTTTCGACAATATTTATATAGTTGAGGAAATAACGTTAAAAAAGCGTTAAATGAAATAGAAGAAAGTATTTATAATTAAGTTTAACTATCAGAGGGTCATTGTTTTTAATAAAGTATAATTATTAGTTGTTAAGTCTGTTGCAATAACCGCAAATAGTTAAATAACAACCGGATAATTTTTATTTATGTAATACAAGACAAATAAAACGGACTTCATTTATTTATTTATTTAAGATATAACCATATAAAAACAGATACTCAAAATGACGATAAATCAGTAGAATCAAAATTTTAATTAATATCAATGTCATATATTTTATGAAATTATTTATTTGTAAAACATATCGACATGGAATGATTTACTCTATTACCGACACAACCCAAGTGTAGAGGCGCTCGCTTCGCTGGAAGGAAAAGTGGAGTTGTGGAGTTCCCCACCGCTGTTTCTCATCGCTCGCGGTTCGCTACATGTCGGTCGCGTAAGTCGCATCGGACGGAACCCAGAGAGCTCTCACATCTGTGGGTGTGTGTGAGCGCCTGAACCGAAGTTCGTATGTAATACGCGAGCCGTCGTCGTGGTCGCCGTCGTCGTCGTCGTCGCAGAGAGAAAGAGAGAGATAGGGAGAGCCAAAGCCGCTATCTCGTTCTTGGGCTCCTTGTTGGCTGAGCAGCCACTGCTTTAGCTCTCACGGCGCGCGAGAAGAGATTGTGTCTGTGTGTATCTCCTGCGGGGTGCGAACCGTAAACGCCATTTTAGCTCGAGCAAGTGTATTCTGTGTACTGTGTTGTGTCTGTGAGTGGTGTAAAGAGAAACCTCATCGCCATAGGCTTATCGTTAACCGAGTGCGTAGCTCTTGAGAGTGAATACACACGACTCGACGCCAGTCATCCGTCATGCGACAGCACCGGACATTATGGTGAGTGCATATAAGTTGATACGGCTTTTGTATTTGTGCTCATTGCCAGAGAGGAGGGAGAGACGAGAACACGCTAGCCTCCTTTCCTTCGTCGGCGTCCGTCTGTCTACCTACGCAGGGATGTTCACGCGGTTATTGGGACGACAAGTTTTTGCTCATTTGCACTCGCAGAGGTACACGCACAGGCACACTCACACGCGCAGGCACACTATCTAACACGCACGCGCATGTACACACACACATGCGCGCGCGCGTAGGCACGTAGGCACGAATGCCGCGATAGAGTCCCGTTTGTTTCCTCGCAATTGATTTTCCGTGCGGTACTTATACACGTGAATTTCACTTCTCTCGCAACTGCTGACATTGATTTTGGAGCAAAGCTCGCCTTCGACCCGCTTGCTGTTGCTTAAGGCATAAGTGACGTACACGTGCGTCATCGCCGATTATGAAATGAAAAATTCTACTTCGGCGCGACAATTGTCGTGTGAAAAGGTGGAGCTCTATCGATCTTAGCGCATACCCGGCTCGTTATACTATCTTTTTGTAGTTTTCTCTCACTGGCTGCGAGTCTAAAGAGAAAGAGATAAAAGTGTGCGCACCAAATCGATATTTCGTGAACGATAAACAGGTCCCGGCAAAGATAAGGTGTATCAGATAATCGCCATAGTAGCGAGCTGTTTAGAATTTACTATGTAGTGCTTCATTGATAAAGCCGCTGAGAATTTTATCACCGCGCTTTCAAATTCTTGTCTGTTGACTGTACAATAGTAGAATCGATATGTTGCAGACATTATTGACAGCTTTCACTCCAAAATAGAGGAGGCGAAAAAAGAAGAATACAATCGAAACTGTTCCACCTACGCCCGTGTCACATCATAACCTCAAAAAATAAGCGACAGGCTGCAGCAGCAGCTCCACCCTATAGCTTGTTGGTGTCGAGGCAAATAGGAAATAAACAAAAAAATAATTGACTAGTGCAGAATCGCTCACGTGCCTCGAGGGCTGTATCGCTTTGTAACGAAGTTATCACGGCTGTGTTGCTTTCTGTTCCCGAAACCAATTCCATTGCCCCGAGGGCTAGCCACAGCTGGACTTCTTCGCATATACATATCGAACGAATTGAGTCTCTCGTTGCGCATGCCAAATTAACACTCGCATTCTTCCTTGCTTGATACATATATATGTATGTCTTAATGCCGGCCGGCACCGTATGATTGTTTTGCCATCCGGTGTCCGACTCTCTTCTATCTATATAAATCATCAATGTGCGTACACGTCGCACGACATGCATACAATATAGAGCAGCTTCCGATGCGTCATACGTAAACGTACAAGGGTTGGAATAGATTATAGTTTCTGTATACGATTGTTGCGTCAATCCATTCGACGAGGTATATCTATCCACGATAACTCACTGTCCAATTTTCAACACGGAAGTTTCAACAAATGAGAATGAGATTGGATCATTTCTTTTTTGCTTGATCGATGAGTTGATTGAAAAGACGTTATTACATAGTAACGGGACTTTCCGCGAGTGACTTTCAATCGAAGGTGCGGCTTTTGTGTGCGTTTTAAAACTCACCACTCATCTTCCACAATCGATTTCCATAAGCCGTTAATTGCAATAAAACCTTTTTTCTTTTCGTTTATCGGGAAAACTGCGTTCAGCTGGTCTAGCGGCGAGAGCAATTCTGCCATTCACTGGGTTTTTCTTAAAGCATCGTTCAGCCACAATGCCGTTGCTCTCTAAATATAGTTATTGCGCAAAAAATCATTCCAGCGCGCGGAATCTCGTAAAAGATCAAGGCTTTTTCCTTCGAAATACACTTCGCCTTTCTAGCGCGCAATTTATCATCGAATAAACATTATTTTACGATCGCCCTCCTCTCCGGTTAAGAACCTAGAAATCGATGGACGAGATTCCAGCCGCTGCCAATCGGGCGTAAAAAATGTCTCTCTTTTTTTTCCACCAATGGATTTTCCTCTCGATGCTACACGCGCGCTTGAACGTGTGTCGCCTACGCGAGCTATTTTTTAGAAGTGGAATCGCAGCATACGCGTCATTGTATGATGTTTTATCGCGACGACGCTTTTTTCATCGTGCTCGCCTTGAGAACGACAAGTCATTTTGTCCTTGCGATCGCAAAACTTTGCACGCGTATGAAAACTCGAAATTCTCGTTTCAAGTGCAGCCAATAAACTCAAACTTCGGGGGAAAAAAATGTCTGGCAATGGTTTGCTGTCAATGTCGCCTAGACAAAGGTATGACAATCGCGTGCTAAGCGTTTTGAAGGGGCCATTATATCCGTCTCTCTCGTTGCCCAGATGAGAATCACTGGACTCTCTCGAAGCTGCCGTTGCCACAATAAGCACGAAGTATTGCATTGCGTAAGAACGCACGTGCGCGCGAATGGATCCTCAACCCGCCTCCCCCCTCCCTAGTCCATCGCGAAAGGTGCATACGAGTGTTACGTGCATATTTGCATACTTGCGGTCATCATCGCGAGCTCAATAGCTTCGGAGTTTTTTTCGATTGCGGTTCGGCATTCAAAATGAGATTTTTGCGAAGAAAAGCTTTTTAAGCCGTCGTCGACTTTCGCTTCAAATTCACTGATTTTAACTTCGCACTCGCCGTCTTAAAGAAACTGGGTTGGATCAGCAAAACAACGATGAGAAAGGCGAGAGGCAAAAAATCAATGCGCTTATAATAAACGCGCGTAACATTGAACGGGCGATAAAATTAAACGTGCAAATACACTGGGTCATGTATTTTAGCTGGCAGATGCTACCGATATAGGCCAACACTTCCATGCGAGCACGCGAAGCATCGATTATTTATTTTTTTCAGGCATCGCTTTATGTCAAGGACAGTTAGTCACTGGAAATGCATCTCGCTAATTAAAAATGACGCTTGACGTTTGAAACTGCGCAAAAGAAACGCGAAAGATTGCGTACAGCCTGCGGTTTCGAGCTACCGTTCGTTCCATCATTCCGAGACTCGTATATCTGCGAGTTGCAAACTGAATTGCGAACGATAGACCGATTGTATGCACGCCTTTCTACTTTTTCTGAACGATGCATTCTCTTTGTACGATATGCACGCAGTGAATTTGGAATGGCAGATCTGGCATTACATTATGAACTCGCGTAATAAGCACTCGAACGAACGAAGCGAAAACAGAAGAGCATTGGAATTGCATTGCAATGCGCGCAGAGTTACAGATGGAGTTGTCGCCGCAGTGAACAGTAGTAATAATCCATAAAGCACTGCAGATCGTCCTACGTTGGCGAGCTCTGCACAAAGACGATAAATCCTGCCAAAAACCCTGCTGGCAATTAAAATCAATCGAAGCGTGTCGCGAAATTAATCGCAACACAGCGATCCCTGGAACAAAAAGGACAGCCAAGCAGGTCACAGTCAGCTAGTACTCTTGTGGGAAAAAAATCGATGCGCGATATTGGACGTAGGCCAAATATTTCATTGTGCTATGCTGTCTTCTCTTGAACCCATCAAAGTCAGCATTTCTATCACGTAACGGGACGATACTTGTTGCACCAGAGACTGAGCGAGAAGCTCGACGGCTTCTACAATCCGCGGACATAACTGCACCAGTCGCTCGCTCGTAACTGGACCGTCGTCGTGCTTCTATTTTTTTTCTTCTTTCCGGCGTCAACGGGTCGAATCGGTCATTGTGTCGCGCGCCGTGTTCAGTAGGCTGACATCGATTGGTCGATGGCTGTACCTACTCGACGCGCGGCTTGTTTTCACCAAACCTCGTGCTTTCCATCGGCTCGCATCGACAGGCGCTGCAGCTTCCGTACGGTCTCGCGCGTCGACGTCGAAGAGCCGCGCGACATTTCGCTTTGGGAAAAGAATTTGCCGCTCGCAGGTAAACACGAGCAATCGCTGTTGAAAGTCGGCGCGCGTCCAGCCAAAGTGGTCTGCTGCAGTGCGGCGGACTCGTGGCAGCGGAAGCTCTCGCGCGCGTACGCGCAGCACGCAAGGGGAGACTGGAACAGTGGCAGCAACAGCCGAGCGTGACCGAGGCGCTCGACGAGTTGCCGGTCAAAGTCAAAGGGAAGTCCGAAGGCTGGCTCGTGCGTCTTGCTGTTCGGCTCTCTGCGCTCGGTTTCGCTGAAAAGCAGTGACGCTGAAAACGAGAGCAGATCAACGATGCCAATTAAGAGGCTCGCAAGAGAGTTCACTGAAGCCGCGCGCGCTTCGGGCATGCGTTTTGTCTGCTAAGTGAAAAATCTTGAAAATGCAAGCTGCTAATCGAATTAACCTCGACTCGGCGATCGGCGAAGGCAAAACTATGCGCGGCGCGTTGCCTATAGTAAAACTGCCATGGGCCAATCGACGCTCGCGGAAACCAGACGCGCGTCGGTTGTCGCTGAAAATCCGACACCGTCGATGATTATCTGCTCAACTTCCCGAGAGAGAGAGAGAGGGGGGAGAGAGAGAGAGAGGGGGAGAGAGAGAGAGAGCAACGAGAAATCGTCGACTCTGCGCACGTTGTGTCTCGAACGACAAGGCGCGCGCAGCCGGCTTCCTTGGATGATCAATATTGCACGCCCCGGAGCGCGGCGCCGCCTTGTGCACATGTACGCACTCGCGAGACCGAATGAACGCGCGTGTAATACATAAAGAGCTCGTTACCTGCGTCTTCGTTGCCTTGCTTCTTTCTTTAGCGCTCGCAGAGAACTGACTGTGGCCGCTTCAATTGTTATTGGAGCTGATAGCCGAGACATCGAGCGAGCCTGTAGCCGCTCGCTCGAGTTTTCTTTTCGGAGGAATTTATTTGCGCGTGCGCGCGTTCGTTGAACTAGATGCCGCTGATTGGTTTTTCGTGCTTTCACGAGTGAACGCCAAGCTCGTAATGTTTGTTTCGATAAATCATTTGTAGACTCATCGGTGCTGGTACGAATACAAACAACTCCACATTCAAAAGTCAAAACAATAGCTCAACGCGTCTTCATTTCTCATCTTCTCTCAGTCGCTTTTATAAATAAACGTGTTTTTCCAAGCACGCCTAGCTCGTTCCCGTAATTCTGGCGTCAGAGAATAAAGCGCGTCAAGTGGCGTTTACAGCTCGCATGTACAATTCGGTTGTGCCTTTACTTTTCGGTCTCGATGTTTCTCGCGCTCGGCCAATCGTCGCGAGCTTTCGTACAGAACTGTAGATGTCGAAAGAGAAAGAAGAAAAAAGAGCGCCAACAAAGAAGCTCAAGCGAACCCCATTTCGAGACTCCCATTCGTAAGCGTGACATCTGCTCGCGTTGTGTTTGCGCGCTAATTCCGGCTACGAGGAAACAAAAAAAAAACACATAAAGAGAGGAAGCGCGTTGAGAGTGGATCAGCGAAGGGCAATTATAGTGCGGGGTGAAATGACAGTTGGTATTTTTCGCGCGTTGGCTCGGCTGATGCGAAAGAGATGTTGCGAGCAGCATCATTTCTCTTCATTCGGAGTATCGAACTGCCGTGTCGAGCTCATTTCAACTCGCCATCTAACCATCTGAAACCAAAGCAAAGTGACAAGTTAATTAGCCATACATTTCAATAATTTCGCAGGGGTCATCCAGCTCTAAGCAGAATGGATATCCATTAAAGTTAGTCCAGGAAACGCTATCAAAGCGAGCTTACCAAGGACCTCATAAATGCCACGTTATGCTGGCTCTCCCCCGCTGTCGCACGGTGGCTTTAACTTTGTTCCGAGACTCGCGTTGTACACCCAAACTGGGTTATGCATTTACGGATTGATACATATGTAAACTAATGCGATTTGCATCAATTTGCTCTTTCGCAATGCTGATTCCGTGCATTGCCCGCGACGACACCTCTGCAATTCATTCAATTGTCCAAACTTCGTTGCGGCTACTCTCGCCATTCAACGCTGATTAGTAAAGTTAGGTTTTATCCTGTAGTTGATTTCTATTCGAAGTTTGGGATTCAATGAAGGTGCAACGCGCCGTTGTCAGCCTTCTCGCGAATACAGCGCCGACAAGAGCTTTCAAAGGCGCCATTAAAAAACTCGAACCTCCCACTTCACTCCGAGGCACACTCGAATCCCATCAGCCGTCGCTGGAGAAAAAGAAGAGTTCGTCGCTCGCCACTCGCGAAAGCGGCGCTCTCGTGTCACAAACCCGCGCGTGCATGCGCATGTGGAACGTTATGTGCAACGACGGGCCACGAAGCGTCATGCTACTGTGTGCTGATGATGTCTCGGCAACCACTTGACCTCGCGCGAGCTCGCCTTTACAACGCTCTGGGCTATATTTGTACGGAGCCTCGGGGGGGTCGGCACTTTTCACTTTCCCGCGTGCGGCGTGGTTTATATTTAGCGACCCACGGATTTCTCAAGAAAATAAAAATGACCGTGATAATCTGCCTTGTGCTCGCTTATTAACGAAGAGAGCTGTGTTTTATTAGGAGGCAATTGAGTTTCATCGATTTGTTGCGACTATATACGTTCAATTAGCGACAGAAACATCGTTGCATTCGCGCGCACTCGAGGATTTGAGCATCCGCGTTATCGCGGTTGTAAAATTGCACGCGCGTGCACTCTGAGTGCTAGTTGCTTTTCAATTGCGGCTTTGTCTTGGCAACTGAGCGCTTCAGCGATACGACCAATTGACGATAACGCTCCGACTGTTTGTTACTCGTAAGTGTCTTCTGGGATATCGATCGAGGTGGGATTTGATTGCGCAGCTTTGTACTCGTACGCCCGCTTGACGGACGTCGTCTCGTCTATCGTCCTGTCGAATTGGGCCTAATCCGAGAGACACCTCTATCGCGATCCTCAAGAATGAAAGGAGGGCAAACGATCGTTCTGCCGCGCGCGCGTGGTTAGCGTCTCCTTCTCTCCCCTGAGAAGAAACGAAAGCAACGCCCGTGCGCGTACACACGCGCATAGGCTTGCGCCAGCAGCCGCTAGCACACGAGTATAATTATAAGGTGCATCCGTACCTACGCTCGGTCTGCGGCGGAATGCGGCTGCATCGTCGCGCCGCACACTCGCGCCACACGCCGTGCACCAACCGGCATGCGCGATACACAGACACGATTGATGCGTGCCACATTGATGCTACTCGTACGGAAACGTAAGCGCGTATCCGACGATTTGTCGCTCGCGGCGATAATAAGTATACGGCGCGTCCAATGTCAGCGCGATAAGACGCCCGTTCTACACACTTCTTCTCATGCCCGCGAACGCGTGAATTCAGATGTATCGCTCCCTGCTTGCTCTTTGAAGGTTTTCAAGAGACGCTGCTGCTTATCTCGAGCCTCCTTCGGCTGGCGAGACTATTAGAGAAGTCGTGCTATTGCGATCGCTGCGATAACAAGTAAAAAGAGTTTGGCGCCCTGCGACGCCGAGAGGGGACGCTGCACTGCCGAGGATTTTCGCTGGGAATCGTTCGGCGAGCCGTTCCCTGGGCGTCTCCGCGCGCGCTACGCTTCGCTATCCCCGACGGACGACTTCGTCGACGTGTCGTGCGCAATTTTAATGGACAACGTTTTCTGTTCCGCGACGCAGCGACGTAAGCAGAACTCGGCACGCGATGGTAGTGTACCATGCAAAGCACTGCCAGCGCGAGTGTTATATATATAAAGCAGCAGTTCAGTAACCGCCGACTCTTGGCAAGGGGAAAAAAGAGTACGCGCGGGGCATAACCGTCGCGGATCGAGATCGCCCACTTTTAGGCGACCGGTTTGCCCAGCTCTAGCAGTAGATGCGGCGCCCACATCTCAGCGCCAATCGGCAAACTCGTCCAGTGATTTCGAGTGCGTATACACACGAGGGACACATCAATTTCAAGCCTGCCAATAAACGACCGACCTTCCGAGCGAATTGAGCGCGTCGTTCGATCAATATAAAGTGACCGCACGTATGTATCAAACTCGGGAGAGCAAAGTGCAAGGGCCTCACTTCTGCGTTACGCACTCTTCGACTTCCGGCGGCGTCCAAGTGTGGGAGACGGCAGCGACGACGCGGCAGCGTTGTTTTATAACGCGAGAAAGTGAAAATCCGATACGTACAAGCGATAAGTCGCATAAAAACTTAATTAGTCTGCAATTCTATTTGCATCGCCATAGTTTGTCGTGTGTATTGTCGAGAGTGGACGGCGTGCATAAGCTAGCGCAATTACCTTTTATCTGCTGCGCGACGATGACAAATGCGATGACTGTTTTGTCGCGTTCCCCGTTTGTCCTTTTTCGCTATTGTCATTCTAATGGTGCGCTTACCGCCTTGAATAAGCTGCATTTTTCTCGACCGCAGGTGTGTTGCCTTCTAACGTCGCCTTACCGGCTTGGAATGTTCTTAGTAATTCACTCAATTTCCTATGAAATGTCGGTGACGGTGCATCGATGGTTATATTTTTTATGTTTCGTCGTATCTACACCATTGGTAGCTTCTACGTCGTGCAATCAAAATACAATACAACTACTTTATTAAGCGAAACAGAAAAATATTCGTCGACAGTTTTGTAAGACAGACGCTGTAGACATTAATGAATTACCACTTGAATATAATTGTGGCTATAATTTTTTGAATATACGGTCTTCTTGACGTAATGCGTGGAATAATGTTTGGAACAAAGACACGAGTTTCGTTATATGTTATCATGTCGCACAGGTACCTATAAATCGGTGAGCCGTCAACTCGGCGTCACCTCGGAGAAAGACAAGCGCATCAGCACCTCTGCCACTGCAGGAGGCAATTGAACAAGAAGAAGAATGCCGCTACCTAAGCGAGTAGTGGAGCCGGTGCACGTGGCACGTGGCACGATACCCGAGGACTTCCCATTGCCGTCGGAACTGGAGGCAGTAACGAATGGCACCCTGGCCAACACGATCAGGCAGCTATCGAGTTTGTCGAGGCACGCCGAGGATTTGTTCGGCGAGCTCGCCAAGGAGGCACACAACCTGAGCGATCGTGCTAATTCGCTTCAGGCGAGGATCGATAGGCTTGCCGTCAAGGTCACTCAGCTCGACAGCAATGTCGAGGAAGGTGAGCTTCTTCTTCTTCTTCTTCTTCTTGTCGTGTTTGCTGCAGCTTCATAAGTGGATTACGTTTGTGGGCATCCGAAAAGTTTGAATATAGGCTGATGTCTCCGAGTTTCAAGAGTCGATTTCTGGAAATTGCGTTTGTCGATAACAGACAAATTGATGCAGTTGGAAAACTTGAATAATTCACTATTGATGAAGTACTAATTCATTGCTTCGCACGTATTGTTTGCAGTTTCGCTACAAGACATCCATATGCGCAAGGCCTTCAAGAGTTCCGTAGTGTTCGATCAGCAGGTCGTCTCAAGGGATACAATGCCCACTGCTATGCTCGAGACTTACCAACAGTGCGACATGCCGCCACCCCTTGACAAGCTCAACGTTTACAGGTAATCGACTATTCGTTACTACATTGCTTGTAGTTTTGGTGATTGTCTCGTGGAACTTTTGTGCTTCCATTGCCACTATAGTTGCCCTCGATTCTGATTTACCGTTCACTAACGAATGATAATCGTGCTATTCAAATATTCAAATATTTGATTAATTTACAACATTAACGCGACAGACTTTCATTCGTTCATTTTTCAATTTATATATTAGAATCGAGCCATCCATATTTCGTCAATCAACTAACTCTTTTCATTTCAAACTTGTCCAATCGGTCATCACAGAGACAAAGTAAGTCATTGCGAATTTTGAATTTTCCTTCGACGGAAAAGTTGTAAGTAATGAGAGCTCTTAAATTCAGCAAAATTAAACCCAAGCCAAATTGCCGCGCGCGTTCTGACAATGCAAACTTTTGTTTCAAACTTTCTACGCAGGACCGTTCTTCTCTACTCGTTGTTAACGTTGTTGCTTTTCAGGGAGGACGGAAAGGATGGTTTGAAGTTCTACACCGATCCTAATTACTTCTTCGAGCTGTGGAGCCAAGAGATGCTTAAGGATACCGAGAAAAAATTGCACGATCGAGGCAAGAAGGTAATGTCGATCGACAGATTATTCATTCATCTTTTCCTTTTATACTTCTTGCATACTTTTACATTTTTTATTATTATTATCTTTTATTATTTTCGAGGTATGCAAAAAGAAACTAATATAAAATACACAACATGATTAATCTACATTTTAAAAAGGAAAAATTCTATTATAACCAATCTACTTTCGAAACGAATATTCTAACAACAATGAACTGTCTCCCATGGTTATAGACCGAGTCAGAATATGCCGAACCGTTCAGAGAGGCAAGTCGATGGTTTGGATCTTTGTAGTTTTTTTACTCACCATCCCATCATCTTTACCGAAAAATAGAAAAAACAAAAAGTTGGAGTCTCTATCTTTCTTTTCTCGCTATCTTCACCAAATTGGATAAAAAAAAAATTAATCGTTACCATTCTCACTCACACCATGAATATTTTTCAAATGTTCTCACCCTTCTCTCTCTCTGTGTGTTTGCGTGGTTTTCTGCTCTCATTAACCAAAGTATTGTTTTCTTTCTTTTTGTTTCACTGTCTAATCCATTTAGTTACGCCAAAAACTTGTGCTGATAATTTTCATACTCGCTTATCGAATTTAGCTAGTGTTAGACGATTGACCATATTATACTGTATTATGTCTTCATACTCAAAAAAATCCTCTCTTTATTCTCCATCATGTGGTTATGGATATAGCCATGCAACGAACAAAAAGAAAAATCATCTGGTCATTCACTTTTCATACTCATCAGTGACATATATATATTATACACTACAAAAAAATCAATTTTGTATCATTTGTCTGGTTATTCCGTCTGGTTATCGTTTCGCACTAAACGGATATGAAATTAGTCACAGAATGATTCTACTCGAGACACTTGTAGTTACCTTTAGCATCGCAAAAATGTTGACTATTTTCATATCCTACTTTTCTGCTTATATTTAAAGCCATTTGATGACAACTACGTAAATCCAATTGTCGCTAAACAAAAACCAGTATCCTTGTGTAGAGTGATTACTCATGCTGTAAGTTTATATCATATTAGTCAGGCGCTATTTTGCTAGAATCTAATTAGGAACTATTTGGATTTATAAAACAAATTTCAAAATATATCACTGTCATAATTTTATTTCATTTTCAATAAAATGCCTGTATTATAGCTAAAGTTGTAACTGTAAGTATTTTCAACTGTACGTAATGGTCATCAATTGGCTTCAGAAAAAAACATCCATAAATCTTACAGTCGAGCTTGCACATCCAAAGAGTCCTATCAATCCTGATGCACTATTTACCCTAATTAATTTTTCATTTTACATTTCCCGCATTTTCAAAACAGCCGCACAGGCCTCGGAACGACGGTGGAAGTGGAGGAGGAGGTAGCAGACACAAGAAACGTGTAAGGCAGCCGCACAATACTCGCGAGCGTCAACGACAAATTGCTGTAGGCCATGGCGAATACATAATGCCACCGCAAGGAATTCAGTACCGAGCGCAACACGCTATTCCCGACGAAGCTTTACTTGGTATGGTGATGACGGATCCACGACCACCACGGCCCAATAGCATCGAGTTGAGGCGTAGCTATCCGCCTGAGGAACATCAACTCTACAGCCCGCCTATAACTGGGCACTACGGCCAAGCGAATTATGCCGCTCAGGTTGGAACAAGTTTTACATAGTTGATTAGTTAATTAGAGAGAGGGCCAACTGAGTTTGATGCGCGCGCTTGGGAGTTACTTTGAATGTTCACCTAGCTGTGGCGAAACTTTAGAGTATAATTATCAAGCTTATTAGCGTTGTTTTGATAGAGGAAATACTAGACGACATTGAGATAACAAAGTTTGTTTTGCATTTAATAGAATGAAAATATTATATTTCTTAAAGAAGATTTGTCGTAAATTCGAAACAAGTACTTTAAATATAAATCATCGTTTTTCAAATTACGAATATGAGTAATATGAACATCAATGCTTTTAACGTTTATATAGAGTGTTGACATCCATAAGCAGAAAATAACTAAATTAGATTGATTATTCATTTACCAAATTTTTATTGAATCTGCGACTAATTAAAAGACATTATGCATCATTAGAGAAATTTTCTCACTTACATTTAAAGCGCGTAGTCCAATCACACTGATGATTGAATAAAAGAACACACTGAAACGCTTTTAACTAATCGAATTTGAAAACAAAATATTTCTTTTACAGTTACAAGGCTACGAGGATAGCGCGTACGGTTCACACTACGCACCTGGCCAAGGCCACTCAGGAAGCGACACTTACCAGAGTCCTGGAGGTCCAGGAACACCAAGTCGAAGGAATAGGCCATCGCAGCCACCACCTGCACCTCCCAGCAATGCGTCTAGCAACTCGACGCCGACAATTGCTTCGGCGAACAATACACCAACTAGGGGCAGGTCCATGAGTACTGGTAGGGACACTTTACCTCCACCACCGCCGCCTCCTGGTGAAACTATGTCGCCACCTGCGATGAATGGTGAGTATTGCTTAAATTAAGTAGGAAAAGTTCTTGAAAGTTTGATTTTAAATGTATTTTCTGTCTACAGGTGCTTTACCATCGCACTTGCTCCAGAGAAACGGTAGCCGTTCGAACAGTCCGCTGCCGAATCATCAGTCAACGCCCACAGCGGGTATGATTCACATAGGTCAGATGATGCCAATGGGGACCGATGAAACGGAATCGGTGGCGCAAGATCTTCCACCACCACCTCCGACTCCCGATCCTGCGCCACCTCGACCAGTTTCGCCACCGTGCAATATACCACCACCCCCACCGCCACCACCTCCGCCGCCAATTTCCAATGGTCCACCACCGTCGCTTAGTCAGATGCCTATTACTAATGGCGACATCGCTAAAATGATCGTCAACAATCCACCAATTCTCAAGCCAGTCAAGAACATCATTGATGGCCAGCTAAGGAAGCCCAACAATCCCAATATACCTGCTGTGGTCGACCCGAGGAACGATCTACTAAAAGCTATTCGAGATGGTGAGTGCCTTAGAGTAGATTTTGAAATGTGTCTCGTTCAATTCTGGACATGATACGTTAGCAAGATAGCTATGTAGTCTTTCAATTTATACATCAAGGAAACATTTTACTAATAATAAAAATTAAGAAATGGAATCTAATTCATCTTTTATTTATAGGTATTAAACTGAGAAAGGTAGAGAAAAATGAACAAAAAGAAGTAGAGCGAGTAAATGCACTGAATGACGTGGCATCTATCTTGGCTCGACGAGTAGCAGTGGAATTCAGTGACAGCGACTCAGCTTCCGAAAGCGAGTGCGATAGCGAAGGTTGGGGCGAACATGATACAACCGCAACTAATGCCGCGTGACCCTCCACTCTCACAACAAGGGTCTCAGCTGTTTAAAGCCGAAAGGAAATGGACGCCTTGTGTCGTTTGCTTGTTCGGATTTGTCGATTATGCAGTAAAGTGTTTGTGCGTGCGTGTCATACACGGCAGATAATCTCAGTTTTCGTTGTGGATAACGTTATACTGCACAGCTCATTAATTTAGATGTTTTCCATATTTTTCATTGTAATTGTTTATGATAGAGCTTCAATATCAAAAAATATACAAATATCTTGAGGAGAATTAATATATTTATACAAAAATAGTTTTATATTTAATGAAAAAAAAAGTTCCAACTTAGTTTTTTAATGTTTCTGAAGTGCTAAAATAGAAAATATTTAATTTTTTGTTTGTACAAATTTTGCACGATAATTTCGTACTTCGTCGGTGATTTTTACGATGTTCATGTATTATTATTATTGGGTAGTAGATGCTTGTCAATGTTATTAATCCATGTTTTCGTATACTATTTTGAACGTAACTATTTCAATTTTTAATAATCGAATAATGATTCGCACAAATGTGAATACATATTTCTTAGAAATAACGAAAACTGCGGATTTCTGCAATCAACCGATAAAACGATTATACAAACTATTCACACACTTCGCTTTGATATGATACTGTAGCTAGGTAGGTGACATTTATTAACTACCAAAGTATTGCCGAACGTTTCTTCTTAATCTCATTAAAGCAAGTATTTCCATGTTAACGTAATAAATGAGCTCTCAAACTTATACTATTGAACTTTTATAAAAATGCCAAGATTATTTTATAATTATTTTTAATATTTGTGGCTATGTTTGCATTTTAATTACTCCAGAGAGCAATATTTTTCATAACAAATCGCATTTGAAGTTGTACCGAATTCGCGATTGAATTTCGGTACGGCAACTATTGTTTTGTAAAAGAAACTTACTTTTATTGTTGAATAGAAATAGTTTTAAATGTGTACGAAGGACAAACGTAATGAAATCTATAACGCACAGAGAATGAAAATGTTTGAGAAAAAATAAGAAAGTACGTGTCTCGGCACATTCCGCATTCCGCGTTTTTCGCTTTTTTAGATTATTTACTTACCCATGCTTATAACCGAACGTAAATAATCTAGTCTCAGATAACGCAAATTAAGAAACAAAATGGTAATTATATAAATAACAAAAGTTACGCAAAAAGTGTTTCAAAAAGTTTTGAGTCAAACCAAAATTTTTCATTAATTATAAGACGCAGTGAATTTATAAGTAATCGAACTTTTTTTAGAGAAATATTTTTAGTTCTTAATAAATTCCATCAAAAGAAGAGAGTAAAGCATTATATATAAACTGTTAATCTATGATGAATGAATGTATCAATCAATATTTCTTGGAAAAAAGCAAAATAATTGTGATTTATTTCCATCGATAATGCTAAAATTAAGGAACAAATGGGATCTGGAGTGCGTATAGCTAGAGGCAAGGTAACTAAAAGAATAGCAGGAGGGTGTCGCATAAAGATTATATAAGCGAGAAAAAGTATATCAAATAGATATATTATATCAGTCGTTAAGATTATATAGCCATGATCTTACATGTTGAAATAATGCTAATCGTACTTTGAGAAATAATTTCGAAGAGAAATGTATGAAAAAAATTCTGTCTTCGAAAAAAAAACATCACAATAGCTATATAAGCTACAATAACCGTGAAAGTTGTAGTTCACGGTAAAAGAGCCTTGAATAGGACAGATTTTGTATGCATGTAGCGACAACTGAACCAATGCATGTTTGAATATGGTAAAGCGACGTCAAAATGTGGTTAATATATTGGCATCGTCTTCGTTCTTAAAAAGTTTTTGTATAGAACCGAGTGTATATCCGAATCGTACGAATGTGTGGGTGATTTTTTTCGTGCATCAGGCAGAAGGATTGTTACATACCGAATCCTTGAAGGATTCAGCATTAATGTGTGATTCATTGGCAACGACACCTGTACATTTTTTCTTCTTTCTATCGAACGGCGATTTAACCGAAAGAAGCGCGCCAGTTATATGAAAGATTATAGTATAATGTAGGCGATTAATTGATAATTTTTTCTGTAACATGTTTATGTATAAATATAAAATTTATAATAAGCTCTATATATATATGAGAATAAAACATGAAACTCTCTACTGTAAGAACTTTAGAATTTATAAGTATTTTAGCTAGACATGTAACTCGCCAACTACTCTACAGTATTTAACAGGGGGAAAAGTAGTAAAAAGAAACGGTTTAATCTGAAAAAACTTGGTGAAATGTCGATTATTTTCCATGAGACGATAAAATCTGAGCTACCTATGTTATCTGTTTTTAAAACTTCAGCCCACACAAACTATCGATTAATGTTTAATCGCTGTGAATCGTGATCTTATAAAAAGAAATATCTAAATGTTACTGAAGAGAAACAGTTTTTCGATACAGCTTTGTAAATGGTAAAAAGAGGAAATTTCATACTGTATTTTTCAAGTGAATTTTCCGTCAGTCCAGCTTTTTCGATACAAACAAAACGCGACCCCATTGCCTTAGGGCTCTTTAGACTCATCTTCATTGTAGCGTGAAAAAAAATCAGCGGTCTTTTAAACATTTATTGTTTTTAACTTCTCGATGTCTGTGGTTTATCTCTTGTGAGCGCTGGATTTGCAATTTTATAACGGGAAAGGGTAAAAATGGGAATAGGGGCGAGTGAAGCAATCGCAACAAGATGTATTTATTCAAACGGATGATAATCAACAGAAACGAGGTAATCAGAATTACATGTCCCGTAATGCAACATAAACGCGCAGTGATCGCTACAATAAATACGAGAAATGAAAAATAAATTAATGATTGTATCACTACTGTCGTCATTAATACATTTGTAGTAAAAAGAAAACAACTGTACAGAGCCGAATAAAATCAAAAAATTTCATAAATTTCAACATCTTTGTTATTGACCTCGAGAGACCCTCCTTTTAGAGCAACGCTTTACAAAACGCGCAATTTTTGTCACGTTACTCCTAACGTGCCTCTAATTCAAGCGCAGTACTGTAAATATTGTACCTGCGAACTACGCGAGAAAAGAGTATATCGCAGATACAAGCTGTTTGACAACGTACTTAGAGGGTTTGTACATTAATTAAGAGCACGACTTTGCCTTTGCCCCTGTAATAATGAACTTTGCTTTGCCGGAGGCGCCACTGTGCGAGCACGGTTCACAGATGCGCGGTGTTAAATAAACAGCTAATGATTAGCGGCATGCCAACTTTGATTAGGGACTTGCGCGCTTCGGAGATGCCGTGAGAAATGTATTTTGGCACTGACGCCGCAACTCTCAACGCTCCTGATTAAGATTCTCCGCGCGAAAGCATTTTCAAAGTTATAAGCTTTATTGGCTCTGCCTTTCGCGCGCCAAAGCGTATTACAAATCAGACACTTGACTGCGATCTAGATATCGTGACGCGTCGGATGCAAATTGCCCTTAAAATTGTATGTCTCTCACAATTAAAACGTTTATTTCTAGTGCATATATTGCATAAGAGTATTTTTAAATCTATTCGCGATTCCTATATATATTTGACAATGTCATTTTATCGTTTCGCTAAAATAACTTGACAATAGACGGTTTAATGTTAAATGCTTTTATAGAATAATTTGGATGATTAGTGAACCGTCACTATCTATGATGAGATTATTTATCCTTTTTTAGAACTTTCTTAACCGTATTATGTGTAAATAATAATATGCAAATGTAAAAAATCACTTTCTTTCAATTACGGTATTATCAAAGATTACTATTATAGAATTAGGCTGCACCAGAAAAGTCAAAGGTCGCGATAGATCCCGTGATCTAAATTCAATATCGAATATTTTTTCCACTGTCATTTAACCCGAGAGCAAAGAAGATTACACAGAATGTAGTTTCCCTATAACAATTATTTTTCCATCAATCATGACGCGTCAAGGGCAACAAAAAGTCCGAAGTAAAGCACAATGCATACATATTCGCAGTCGGTGTGTATCGATAAACAAATTGCGCCGAGTTTTTTAACTGCAATCAACAAGGACGTAGATGGAGGGCGTGATATCAATTTCAGTTGGTGCGATTGAATGTCATCGAGTTGAAACGAAAATCCTTTCTTCTCATAAATCACCGGAGCGAGCGAACGCTTCGCCCTGCGTGCCAATCTGCCCCGATTAAGGCCGCTCGAACGATTATACGTCGGGAACACTCGGGCTACTCATTTGCGCCAGACCAGCTATAGCGTAAGCTTTGTTTTTTTTTTTTTGGCTTTTTTTGTGACTGACTGACTGACTGACTGACTGACGTTTTTCTCTCGCTATTTTTTTTATTGGGAAGACGTAATTATTACGCCAATTTCAGAGGATAATGAACACAGCAATGAATTGCGGCTGGGAATAAATTGGTCAATTTGTATATTCGTCTGGAATTTCGCTTTATTATCTGCACAGAGAAGGAACGATCGATTGCGCTTTCGGCGAATTGTTGCGGTTGGAAAATTATAATAGTTGAAATACGCATAAAGCGTAATTACTTTTTTAATTTTAAAAAGGCGATTAGTTAAAAACGCCTAATTCATCGTATCACTTATCTCAATTTCGCAAAAAAAAATATATGGCGAATAATTCTAATTTATTCGCGGATAGTTTTTTCCAATGCCTACATATCAAAAAGATTTGCAACGTAGCGCATCATATCCTTTGAAAGCAAAAAAGATGAAGAAAAAAATCTAGCATATCAGCGCCAGCAGCCGATGACATTTTTCTCACGTATTGAAATGAGACGATGTGTCAAAGCCAGAAAGAGCGAGAAAAAAAAATTTTTTGCGCTTATTGAAGTTCGGAATCCCTTGATGTCGAACGCCGTCTCGCCGCTATACACTTACGAGCAAATAATTTCTTATATCTTCAAATTTTCCTGTTATCTTGTTCCTCGTTATATTCTCTCTCTCTCTCTTCATATAGTAGAGTGGTCCTATGCTCATTCACCACTTACCGGTACAGTATTCCCAATTGAAAAATTTCACTTTTTGAAAAATTCTCCATTGGATTTTAGATGAAGTATACCTGGTAAAAGTAAAAAAGGTTATTTGTGTTTGGTTTTTCTCAGTGACAAGATTCTTAATTAATTTCGTGACATTTTAATCATTTTTCCCGGGAAGTAAAACATTGCATCATGAATATTTAAAAATTTCCGTTCCGAAAGAGATTTAATGTTATCCAATGTATCAAAATAATAATAATCAACTTTTTATATGGAACAATGCGATAAATTAATCAAAGCAGTTCACTAAGAGTATCTTCCATAAATCAAAAAAGTTACATCTGCATATTGAAGTAACAGATATAAAGCGCGCAATATCACAGTAATAATTCAAGAGCCGTCAGATATTTCCATCCAGCGTAATTAAAGTAAAAACGAACTTTTAGGGTTATTCGAAAAGTATAAAAATAAACGTCCTTGTTTCGTTCGCTGACAAAAGGCAATCGAAACGTCGAATATATTTTACAGGTGGTCGAGAGTAGGAGCTTTAATTCAGGGACACGACAGTTGGAGCTTAAAGATGCAGCGGCTGCGGTTGAAAAACCGCGCGCATTCCATAAAATATACGACAGGCGAAATAGATCGCGTGCGCGCAACTACCCCTTTTACATGTCCAATCCTCGGATGTCGTTAAGGCTTTTCCCCGATATATACAGACTCATCCAGGTTGAAATGAGATAATACTTTGCGAATTATCAGGCGTTTCGGAGAGAAAAGGCGCCAAAATAAAAGCACAAAGAAAGTTTTCTACTTGCAACTATTATTCACCGAAAATAAAGCTTACGAAGGTATGTGCTTGATAGCTAGAGCTTTCAGAGAACTTTGCTAAGGAGTATTGCTATTCCAGTCGGTATCGTGTTTATTGACCGAAACGTTGAGTTTTCGCTCTCTCTCTCTCTCTCTCTCTCTCTCTCTCTCTTGCTAGTTTTCGATTTCGGGAAAACTCTTTTTCCTTTTGGGATTTCAGTAACACCAATTTCCGATTTTTTACAATGCTGTGATTGAAGAACACAAAAATAGGTGAAAATAACGGAAACGTTATGATTGCTTGAAAGTACTTGAGAATTTTATTTTTGGTAAATATAGTTTTCTGTAATTGCATTTTATTTTCATCACTCTGTCAAAATTATAATATGAAAGTGTCGAATGAAAAGTAAATTTCACAAAATGAGAATATGACTGGAAGCGCTATGCACTTTGAGAATAAAATATCGAAACGAACGAAATTTCCAATGTTTGATAATCCCTTTCAAAGTAAGCTTAAGTACGTGTAATTGGCTTTTCTTCATATTCCATCCTATCCTAGGTCCTTTTTGACCTTAATTAGTTGGACAAAAAAAGCAAATGAGGAACGGAAGTGCCTCGCATTCCTTTGACGAGCTCCTCATCAAGGGACGAAACTTCCATCTCTTTTAATTGAATCTGCTGCCACGGGAAAGATCGTCTTTGAAATCAGCTTCCATTTCTGGCAGTTTCAAATATGAAAATACAATGCATAATACTAATAATCCAGTTGCCTAACTCATGAGACTATGGAAAAAGGAAGAGATTACAAACTGGTAGAACAAAGCAGGGCCGAGTTCCGAGTGAAGGGAAAAATGGAAGATTGCAATCCAAGACAGTAAAAGTATTGGCAAAAGTAAAGTGCGCGTAAATTGACATCCGCGGCGAAGCCATAGCGGGTGTTTGACAATATCGGCTTCGTCTAATAGGCTATTTCTGAATGGCATAACCGCATAAGTTTTCTCCGTGTGCCCGAGGCAATAATATATGCCGAGGCGATGCGCCGAATATCTTGACCGTTGCGAAGATCCCGAGGGACTCGGTCGCAACGCGTGAGTTATTGTCGGTGGTTTCACAGCGATGCGTAAGAGTGAGAGAGAAGAAAGGCAGGATGCGGGAAACATGCCGATCGATGAAGATTTCCACGGTGGTTTACTCTATTTACCGCCGGTTGCACGTGAATTATGGGCTTGAATATTAGATTTAATGGCATATTGCGCGTATTTTATGGGTTTTATAAATTATCGTTGTCCAACGCGTTATAGAAAATCCGAAGATGAGAGTTTGATAGTTAGCTCAACGAAATGATTAAAAATGTCCACAATATTTCCCATAGTATTTATACATTCATTTGTATTTGATCATCTCGTTTCGTTTATTTTTCCCTTGACTATATTTTCGCACAGTTCGAACGAAGCGATCGCTATACGCTTAACGTTTCACGAGGTGAAATGATAAAAAATAGCAGTTTCTTGAAAATACACCGTGTTTATTGCGCTTTTTGAAATATCTCACAGGCAATTATACACCTGGCGATTCAGTTTTCGTCATAAACCAGACGTATTTCAATCACCGAAACAATCCATAAATACGCGTCGTATACTGTTACGCAACGACTTGCGTTGTGCCAAAGAATAAGAAAAGACCGACTAGTTTGAACGACCAACCATCCGGTTGGGCGTGAACGACCGTCACATTATATCTCGAGAGCATTCGGGTCACTTCCTATGTATTGACGTGGCACTGCATCAATATCCACTCGATATCGTGGCAAATCGACAAGCTATTACTTCTGCTGCAGCTGATATATCTCACATGAGAGGCAGGGAGAGGGGCAAACGTGTGAGACAAGTCGGAGAAAGAGTCAGAGAGAGAGAAAGAGAGAGAGAAAGAGAGAGAGAGTAAGAGAGAGTGAGAGAGAAAGAGTGAGAGGAAGTGTGAGAGGAGGAGTGAAAGAGTGAAAGAAAGAATGACAGAGAGAGAGAGTGAAAGAGAAAGCGAGAGAGAGTGAGTGAGAAAGAGAGAGCGAGAGAAAGAGCGAGAGAGAGCGAGAGGAAGAGCGAGAGAGAGC